GACACGACACACTCCTTCGCTTATACGACTTTGTTTCAAGGGATCTCTTACGCCCGGGAATAGCTTGTTCCCAAACATGCATGCCATATAATATATTTATATATATGCAAATTACTTAATATTGTGTGTGTGTGTGTGTGTGTTGATTGATTCCATAAACTGTGCTCATCGATCTATGGAATCTTTCCATGGTGATGCCAACAGGATTGTGCACCCCAAAAGGCGGGGGAAAAAGATCACAAGGACGCAACTCGCGGGGACATGAAAATTACTAGATAGAAAATACAACTGGGATGAAAATTCAAATTTTCAATAAACATCTTAGATTTTTTTCCTCCTTTCAGATTTCAGAAGAAGTTTAGTTGGGGCAAGCTATGCTAAGATGACCAAAATCTCGATTCAAAGAATAATGTTTTTGTATATTTGTTTATATACTTTCTTTGATTCTAAATATAAGAGATAGTATATAAAAGTTTATTTTAATTTTAAATGTAAGATAAAACCTTAATCCAGTTTGCCCCTCAAATGTATAAATTTTTTAAACCCTTATATGGATTTTACATATATATTAAAGGAATTTTTATTAGAGGAAGTATTATTACTTATTAACAACCTCGCCCCCTGCATTAGTAACAAAATTCCAATTCATGCTCTGGTAAATATATAGACCATATCTGCGCGTGCGAATACAAATTTGAAGGGAATATTAAGAGTGAGTCTATATGGCAGATGAGAAATATATCTTCTCAATGGGAGATGGCCTGGCATATAAAATTGAAACTTTGACATTATCTGTATGGCTGTTTGACAGATAATATAGCTTGTACATATTTCATATATGTTCTCCGCCTCCACTATCCACAAAGTTCAAGTTTTTTTTTTGTTGACCTTGCACAAAGTTTAAGTTGACAAGATGCGGGAAAGGTCAAAGTGAAAATTGCAGATGGAGGACAAATTACACACACACACACGCTTAAAGGTGATTTAATTTCAACTTGGATATCATATGAATCAATCAACTATAATAAAAGAATCAGTTAAATAATTCGTATAATAAGTTAAGTAATAGTACTCTTGTGGAGAAGAAAATTAAACCTGAGTTAGGATAGTATGTATTAAACCAGTTAATGTGTATTTTTGTGGCAATTTAGTTAACTTAATTGAATAACTTGTGATGGAACAGTAGTTGTCGGGGGTTTGAATTATTGAGGAGAGAAGGGGTGGGGCTTTCATATGTGAATGCTCTTCTCTTTGGGAATGTAGTAGTGTGGGGACGAAATCTGGGACCTCCCTCGATTAATTTCCCTGTCACTATATTTGACCCTTTCATTAATCCTCACAAAGGATTTAGCATATGTAATCTTATATTTAAACAAGATTTAAAGAGGTATTAAGTATCAGTTGGGCCAAACAATTCTGCAAAATTTAATTTATTCAATGTCTTGATATCTAAAAATAGCATAATCTATATATACTTATTTCCCATTTGGCGCGAAGTATTAAGATTGAGAAAGAGTGTTTAATATGAGTGATTACATGCCACTTGGAATTGGGTAAATCCATGTAAGTAGGATTAGAGAATACCACTTTTTTCCGTGGTATTCTCAATGTTACCTGTATAGGTTTGTCTAATCCCAATAGTATCATGTATTCACTTACATTCAATACCTTTTTCATCTATTTTCTCAATCACAATCTTAATGCATACTTTTTATTCTCAATACTTCATACCAAATCGGACCTTAAATGTAATATATTATATTTATTTTGTTCTGTTTCTTTCAGTTCATATGATCCGAATCCTTTGAATCAGCATTAATGAATATATGTAGGTGGTAAACTCCAAAGCAGGACCATGAATATAAATAGGCTTATGTCGTCTTTTTCCATTGCAGTTGTAATTAACGGAATCTTCAGGCCTCAAGAGAAAATAGCAAAGAGTTGCTATCCATCATCTATATATATATGGTCCCTTCATCCACATGGGTTTTGAGTTTGAAATAACTAGGAACAAGAAGTCTGTTTTCATCTTTTTTGTGATTTTAAATCATCATCACATTATATATTATACAAATTTCAGCGGTATGGACTTTCAAGTTTCAAGTGGATATCATCAATTTTGGGGCAAAAAATAAGACACTATTCGGTACTTCTCATACATCTTCCCATGAATTATTAATCTCTTAACCAAATGAGCCATTCGTATAAACCCATAACCCGTTACAAATATATATGAAATGTGAGAAGCTGTCTCCAACCATGTGATCTTATTTAGTATTATTTCTGATTCTTAATAGAAAACTCAATTGACTAATTTGAAAAAATTTTAAAAAAATTACTAGATTACTTTAAAGTATTTATATTTATCATTTCTTTTTCAAACTAAACTGCCTCAGTTGTAAATTGATACATATATAATCTAATGATATACATATATTTTTTAAAAAAATCATATAACATATACTATAATTAAATAATTTAATAATTTTTTTAATCTTTTCAAATTAGTCAATTAAGTCTTATATTAAAAATCACAGATAGTATAATTGGCTCTCCAAGTTTTCATTGATCTTATTGAAATATTTGTCCGCTGCCTAACAAGTTAGGTACGTTCTCTAATTGATTCGACGTTAACAAGAAGAAATTGCATTTGCTTAGTCTTGAAGCTATATATAAACATTATATTTGCAATACAATATCTCTCAAATAATTTATTAAATTGTCTAGTGATAACGGGCGGGAGATGGGGAGATATGTTTTGAGAGAGATGGAGATCGGAATCAATAAGAAAACTTTTTCTTTCATCTTTCCCGTGATAAGAGTGAGCAAAAGATGATACAGCATGCAGGTGTTGGTGGCAGAAACCCAATTGATGGCAAATCATTCTCTCCTTTTAATAAGTGTCCCAATCACACAATCATTTCAATTTTGTTTATTATCATCATTATTATTTTCTCAAATCCAAAAATGCATTACTCTAATTTTCTGACGATAAAAAATTTATCCCATTTATGTAATAACATTATATGCGTGTACATTGATATTGATTATTAATTTCATAAACCTAGAAAGAAATAATTGCACTTTTGAGCTTTTGATGGCAACTGAGTGGGGAGAAGTTGTTGGATTCGGAGCTGGCACAATCTTATCCGGACCCATTAAACCTGGACCCATCACACGGGTTTGTGTCCGATGTCCTGGGTCCATCCATGTAGACAAACAATAACTTGACTTTATGTTCTGTTTAAAAACAAATTATATATATAAGATTTTATTTTTAAATAAGAATTTTCTTACAAGATAAAATTTTATCACCACTTTAGTTCCATTTTTCGAATAATATTTGCTTCAATTTTAGCCATAACATATATTTAAGTCGATAGTTTATATTTTAATTAAACCAATAAAGGAGATAAAGTAAGAATATAGATATTGGCAAAATAATTTTGTTTATAGATAAAAATTGCAGAAAGTAAGAATATAATTTATGTGATGTTGGCAAAATATTCAAGCATGCATACATATATATATTTTTGCCGACGATATATATATGGAATTAATTAATCAAGCTTTGTTGTAATTAATTATGTGCATCACTCATGTATTGTGCGAAGCTTGCTAAATAAGTCGTATTCTTCATGACTAGTAAAATGAGTAGGCTGAAAAAAGTGGGAAAGTAGTTACCTTCTCTATATGTCTTCATTTTTGGATCGATGTCATTCAATTACTATCTTCAATCTCTTTTTCTTTTTTCCCGAAATTACTATCTTCAGTCTCAAAATATAGAAGTCACAATTAATATCTTACAATTACAAATAATAAGAAAGACCATTAAAGATAGTTTAACTTTTAAATCTCTTCCAAATGGTAGGACATCCTATGCTCATCATAATGATGAGTATGAAGTGTTCATCTTAATTTAGATAATCCAGATTAATTTTGGATAGTACAGATTAAATTTAATTTTTTTAATTATTATTTTATTTTAATAAATACAAAATTCAAAATAAAGATAATTTTATGACAAACACTTCTCAAAAAAAAAATTTATCATTAAAATTGCATATTAAAATTTTCTAATCTCAATCATATTCATATCAAAATTTAAATGGTCTATATTGCATTATAGTGCTCATCATTGTGATAAGTACGGAATGCGGAGTCCTCCCAAATCGTTATTAGTCTTTAGAAATGACCCTAATTAAATGCTTCATTGTTCATGTATCGTCTGACATAAATTTAATCATCAAAAATCTCTTTCATGATGAGTTTATCCATATACTCCTTATTAATACATTTAAAGTTTTTATCATAGATACGTATTACTTCTTCCGGTCATAATTATAAGAGCCAGTTGACTAATTTGAGGAGATTAAAGAAGTAAGTTGAGTTAGTTATTTGTCCTAAATAGGTGGTCTTTCCTAAAATATCTTTGCTAATCAAGTGTATTGACTAGAACTATAATTATTAGAAGGACTATCTTAGAAAAATTGAGTAAATATGAGAGACAAAGTAGATTAGAGTCTTATATTTAGGATCAACATAAAAATCAAACGTGGTCTTATATTAAGGACCAGGAGGTAGTATATCCTCTTTTTTTTTTTGGGCCAAAGTAGTATATCCTCATGAGTTTAGTGGTTTAGTATCAATATATTGGGCGCTGGTAAAAAAAAAAATCAATATATTGGGCCAAAAATATGCAGTCACTATTACCAAACATTAACTTTCACACATAAAAAAAGGCGTTGCTTATAAAAACGCGTGCAAAGAGCATAAGAAATATGGGTTAAAAAAAGAAAAGACTAGTTTTTCTGAATACGGAAAACATTGAAGGAAAAAAATGCCACCCACAAGATTAAATTATGTCTAATAATAAAGCTGCAAGTAGCCGTTCCAGACAAAAAGATAAAAACAAAATCTCATTTAAAAACTCTCATAATAATAATCAAGGTGTGGTGGAGAATGGAGATGCAAGCCCTCTCGCTTCACATACAGACACATGCAGCCCTCTCTGGGCACTTCCAAAAAAGGCAGTATAAAATCGTTCAAAATCAAAACCCCTCATCATCAATGCTTGTTCCAGTTCCAATAATTCGCTCGTCTTCTTTTTCCACATGCCCAGCAGCATCCTTGTTCAGCTTTCTGCAATTTCATCATCATTTCATGTTGCACTAAACCACCAGTTACGTTCGCACGCGACACTGAACTTTGCTAAAGTTTGAGCAGAAGTAACACCCCCCCCCCCCCGGGGCGCGCGCGCTGGCACAAAGAGTGTTTAATTATTAAGTTGGTGGGAAGTCTGGGAATCGATATTGATGCTCGCGGTGTCACCATTGAGGGGAACCAAAGATGAAATTAAAAGCCAAGGAGAGATGGGTGTTTTCTCATCAATCGTCGGTGAAGATGACGGGTTTGGAGAATTTTGTGATGGGAATCTATTGGAAAACATCAATTTTGACGATCTTTTTGTCGGCATCAACGTCGCCGGAGATGTGTTGCCGGATTTGGAGATGGGCCCGGAAATCCTCTCCGAGTTTTCCATGGAGTCGTCGGAGAACATGAACTCATCCTCGCTTTCTATGGAAAATAATGATAATAGAGGTGATCAACACCAGAACAGTATTATAACTGGGGAGGAGGAGGATTGTGATAATAAAGCTCTTCAGCTTCGGCCTCAAATTCTGGGTCAAGCCGAGCAGCAGAAGAGATAGTGAACAAAAGAGACGATGAATGTACGGCGGCGGCGACGCTGAAGCCATCGACGAAGAACAGTGAGCAAAAGGGAAGAAAATCATCAGCCCAATCCAAAAATTCACAAGGGAAGAGAAAGGTGAAGGTAAACTAACTGCCTCACAAACTAGTACCTTCTTCATTACTGGTCGTAATTTTTATTTCCACACGTTCAAATCTGAAATAAGTTCTCCACAAAAGGAATCATAATTAGCGAGGTAGCACAAATTTCGGTCTTAGAATTAAGGTGGTCGTGAATATTAATTAGATTTGAATGAGGAAGTCGTCCATGTGCAGTAAAGCTACTCCTTAAGGATCAGTCCCTATCTCAATTATGGGTCTTCTCTCTTCAGTCACGAATGGTGTCAGCTCGATCACGGGCATACCATAAGACATTAAGTTGATGAAAGGGCAAGCTAGAGATGGTTTTGGGGGGGGGGGGTGAGGGACAATGTCTGAGAGAGAGTGCAGCAATATTAACGAAACAAATACTTGATTTTTTTTTTCCTGGGATAGATCTGATGATGATGTTTATTAGAGCTCGTCGGGTGTTGTTTCAGGTGGACTGGACCCCAGAATTACACAGGCGATTCGTGCAAGCAGTGGAGCAGCTTGGAGTGGACAAGGCAGTTCCTTCCAAAATCTTAGAGATTATGGGAATTGCTTGTTTAACTCGCCACAACATCGCCAGCCACCTCCAAGTACTTAATTATATCCATCCGTAATTGTTTGAAATTAAGACAAATATATTGTGTGCAATATAATATTATCCGAAATGATATATATATATATATATATATAAATATCATATGCATGCAACTAGTGGAGATAAACTTCTGCTATATATTTCTGTGGACTGCTGGATTTATTTGTCCTGTAATACAGTGGGGATATTGAAGAGTTAATTTTGGAATCAATGTACAGAAATATCGATCGCATAGGAAGCATTTGCTGGCGCGTGAAGCAGAAGCAGCGAGGTGGAATAAGAGGAGAGAGGTAAGGCCATGGGCAGCGCCACCCACCATGGGATTCCCTCAGATGGCTCCTCCGTCAACATGGACGATGCCCCAATATTTTAGGCCCTTACACGTATGGGGCCATCCCACGATGGACCCCTACTCCTTCATGCCCCACTGGCCTAAACAACATCATCATCTTCCACATTCAATGTCGCAGCCGCCGCCGCCGCCGCCCCCAGCCTGGCTATACCCAGTCGCTCCGCCACCTTCAGACCCTTCATTATGGCAGCCTCACCACCAGCAGGTCAAACTCTCTATTACAACTAGATTTTTGTGTGTCTAGTTTAGTCTGAAACCTTGTATATAAATCTTAATTTAGTAGAGGTCCAACTATTTGAGTATATCAGACATACTTTTTTAAAAGAGGGACTTGATATTTGTTGGCGGCAGCACCTGCAAATATTACAACAATATTTGAATAAAGTCTCAATTGTCACCAATGAGATATATATATATATATATATAAATCTGACATGGGAGATTGAGAAAGGTGAGCACTATTTGAGGATATATTTTAATTTTTAATGTAAAATTTGTATAACAGATTTGATACCATTAATTAAAATCCTTTATTTTTGGAGGTATAATAGAGTTTATTATTCCTTTTTAATGCAGGCTGATTCAAAAGCACTAACCCCAGGAACAGGAACATACTGCTTTCCACCTCCAACACCTCTGACTGCGACGGTAAATTAATCTTTCCAGCGATTCCATACTGTTTTGGAGCCACTCAAGTTGTCTTGTTCTTGAGAAATTGGAAATTCTTGTAGACAACGTTACGACGTAAAATACTGCCAGAGAAAGAAATAGTACATTCTTGGGTTTGCTTCACAATAGGGGAAGTGAATGAACTGAATATAGTCAATATTAATTATTTGTGGTTCATGCACGCAGGGATTTGGATCTCCTCCTGTCCCTGGCATTCCACCCCACGGCATGTTCACGGCAGATCCCGACATCGGATCTCCCGCCGGCGGGCAACCCCCCGGCCCATGGTCCGTCTGTGACTTCCACCCGGTAACTTCTCTCCTCTCTCGTTCTTCGGTACCCGCAAACGGCTACAGAAATAAAAACTCCTCATTCATATTTTCTTTTCTACCTGTAAAATTTTTGTTTGCCCGTAAAGCTGGGAATGAGATTCAGAAAAGAGTAGGAAGTGAATTAATATAAAATTCAATGCAGGGCAAAACGTTCCAAATTAATGTTAGGCAAACTATTTTGACATATATAGTGCACAAATTTTAAAGCAATTTTGACAATTTTAGTCACAAACTGGATGCAATCAATATAATGCACTGAGAGAGAACTATGAAAAAAGAGGGAAATTAGTGAACAGAAAATAAATTAATTTCACACGTAATTATGGTCTTCTATGATTTTCTCGGAATATATAGCTATATAAATGGCGGTAAGGAACTTAATATAGATGCATGCATGCACCACACTGTGAAAAGTTTTAAGAGTATTAATTAATTGATTGATTGATTGTTTGATTAGGTTAATTATATTATTGATGATTTGAGTAATGAAATGTTTGTGGCAGTCCGAGGAAAGCGTAGATGCAGCTCTTGGAGATGTTTTATCAAAACCATCGCTGCCACTTCCCCTGGGCCTGAAGGCCCCGGCGCTTGATAGTGTGTTGAGTGAATTAAAGAGACAAGGAATTCCCAAGATTCCTCCCTCTCCTGCTTGACCATCCAAACCCTAATTCGACGACTTCTCATCATTTCTTTAATTACATGCTCATGTAACATCTCAATATATATATATTATAATTACGAACCATGCTTCATTCTTCATCGATATTTCCCCCTCTGCATAAGTGGGGCAAAAAGTGTATGAATGGTATTAAAAGGTAAATAAGCTATATTATAATGTTATATACTATCTCTGCTCTTTAAAATAAGATCTAGTTGACTAATTTATGTAAGAAAGTTATTAAATTGTTCAATTACATATGTTACATTATCTTTGATCTAAAATACTTATGTGCATCATTAGGTTATACATCAATTTATAAATGAATTAAATTATAATTAGTTTGGAGAAAAATAATAAATATAAATATTTTAAAATAATTTATAACTTATTTAATTTTTTCAAATTATTTAGTTGATCTTATATCAAGAATCAGAGGTATGTAGTATAAGATGACCTACAATTCTCAATAAATGAAATTCTTGTAGTAAATCTGCTTACCTAATATGCTTTCATGACTTCAAGAGTACTACGATGTACTTATAAATGCCGATGTTATTTTTTTCCTAATTATCATTAAACCACACCGACATTTAAAAACCACTTCATTGTTTGATTAATCCAAGTCAAGTATAACTGGGGCCATAAGAAACACTAATTGGTTAAGTATGTCTGGGACGTGAACCTAAGACCGTTGGTTAAATAAAGTACAGCAACAAAGCTCCTGATTTATTTGCAACTGCTACTTATTTATTTTGATCATTGTTTCTTTACATACAAAATGGGTCGTGTTTAGATAATAACGAATATGTTCATAATTCATATATTCACTATAGAAAACTTGATGTTACGAAGACAAGAAAAGAGAAATATATATGGGCAGAATGTTAACTCATCATTGCTATAAGATTTTAATTAGTTGGTTTTATTTTATTTTTGGGGCGTGTGTTTTGATTTGGGTGTCAAAGTCGCAGCATTATACTAATATCCGTATGAGTCAGATAGATTGAACATTAATTTCAGTGATACTATAGCTAGGGTTTCCGAGTCTTGAAGGCACATTTAATTTGGCGAGCGAGTTATACAGCTTATTATTATGCACACATGAAAATGAAATGACGTCGGGACTAAAATATTACCGACCACTTTAATTGCCTACACATCAATGAACAAGGCAACTAACATTGTAACTAGAAATTAACCGGCGCGGAATCTCTCCATTTAGCCTCCATTTCAATAAAACGGTGTTGTTTTATAATTTTTTTGAAAAATTACAGCTTTTTCCAACTCAACTGAGCGTTTATCGTTTCGATCTCGTGAGTTTTTTATTCTTCCATGACCGACTTCTCTTCTTTCACACATCTCACTGTCGTTAGTGATAATTCCTGATTGCCCACCGTCTCTTCATCCATTGTGCTCTTCTGTGATTCTCTTAATCCATAATGCTCTTCTAAGTCTTCACCACCCATGGTCCTATTTACCTTCAACCACCATCGCCCAGGGAGAAGAGAGAAAGTTAACATTCCATTCTTCCTCACCCACTTATTTTATTTCTTACCCTTTAAAATGCTTTAATGCCCCCTTTTTCCTTCACAAATTACGCCCCTCTATCTCCGTTGCTTTATCTACAGTATTCTAAATAAGAGTTTTATTTTCAAAGTGGTTGGGTGTTTAACAAATTGAACTGTCTTCGATGTTTCTTACCTTTGGTTGATGATCAAAGAGGGAATCTTATTGCCACAGGAGGCTGCATCTTTTAGTGCTCACTATATTGCTGATACAAAAACTGCTAAATAGTGGGCAGCAGAACTACTCCTGACCATCTAAGGGAATGATTAAGCGCTAAAATTTTTGTCGAGTCTTTGAATTTATTACACAGAACATGAAGACAATTTTTGCCTTGCTATTTATTATGTTCTGTATAAATATTATTTGTGCTTTGCCCCTGCCCAGAACATGTGCTAAAATCATTGGTGTTTCATTGCCGCTTGAGTGCCTAGTTGTTGAACGTAGCGTTTTATTTAAATGGAGAAACGACACCGTTTTATCTAAATGGAGGCTAAATGGAGAGATTACGCAATGGAGAGTTCCGTGCCGGAAATTAACGTACGCTCCCATTTAAGTAATTAATTAGTTATGATGCCTTGTAATGAACCAAAGGTAAAACTGTACAAAAGAATAATCGAGGGTAGTGGAAAAAATTAGCGAATGTGAATGGATTGGACACGCAAGCACACCTAGTATGTGACCGACACGTACAGGATCCTATTTTGCGGCATCTTTTAGAACATCGAGACAAAAAACCATCACGTTCAGCCGGTTGCATCGTCAACAACAAACACAAGTGGAGAGATAAACATGAAATGTAAAATTATATTTAAGTTAACGTCTTGTATTTTCCAGGGAAGCACAAAGCCAATTTGAAAGGTACGACACTTGTTTGGTATTTTCCTAGTGAATAACTGTTGACAAGTACGTCTAAGTGTCCACACACACACACATAAATGGGTAGCGTAAGTTTTAGTTTTCAGGATTTGAAGGATTAGCTGTTTCTACTGCCTCTTTATTTCATACATTTTATACAAAAAAAAAAAGGGTGATTGAAATTTGATATGCCATAGACAAAAAACATATACAATTTTAAATTTATTTTCATGATTTTTTAAAGAAAATACTTTGAAATGTGTTAATTTATTTGTTAATCTATGGACATAATATTTAGAATCATAAAAAAAATTTAAAACTGTATTATTTTTTGCTCATAAAGTATCAAAATATCATTTATTTTATATAAAATATATTGATTAAAACACCAGGAAAAAATATTTAGGAAGTATGAGAAAATTAAGGGAGAGCTGATGGACACCCCAAATGCAGTTTTGAGATGCACATTACTGAAGTGTTTTTGTTTTGTAATACGATTGTCTATTAGACCCACCCTGTGTACTTTTCTTCTCTTTGTTATTGTAATTATTAAAGAAGATCTAAATAATACTATGTGTGTTTCTAATATAAGAATTAATTGACTGATTTAAATAGATTAAGAGAACTAATTAAATTAGTTATTTGTAATAAATATATGTGGAACTATTATTATTACAAAGACTACTTTAAAAAAATAAATAAATATGAGAAACAAAATGAATTAAGATATTATATTTAGAATTAAAATAAAAATCAAATAAATTTTTATACCAGCCACAAACTCCGATATATAATTCGTGACGTAGATGAAATTGGTATAATACATGAATGTATAAATGGAGTGTAAAGTTGGTGTAGATTTGGGCATGTGCAGCTTGAGAGGGAAAAACGGGAGAGTGGAGACACGCACGGGGTGGGGCCCAGGGGAGACGGAGACTTGAAAGTTTGAAAGAGGACAAATGGACAATCAGCGAGTGATGAATTGAAATGTCGAAGAGACGCAGAAAGATGATTGGAATGTTTGCTGGCGGCATAATTACCGTGAAGAAAATAGATGCGCTGACAGACTAGCAAGAATGAGCTTGAGTCAGAAGGAACAGAGAAGAGTCTGGAATAATCCACCGCCTAAACTGATTGGCTACTGTGTGAAGATTTAGAAGATGGTATTCGGAGAATAGCTAATTCTAGGCTAATTCTTGTTTTTGTTTGGGCTTAGCCCCTGTTTATCACCCAAAAAAAAAGGGACATATGGACAATCAACGAGTGATGAATTGATATCTTGAAATGAGACCTGCCACATGTACACCACAAGATGTCAACACGCGTCATGGATTAGCCGAGTCAGACATTCGTTCGCGGTTTGGGCCCACAAGCGCGCTGAATGCCCCCTAAAGTCCAATGTCAAGGACATAGCGATGACGTGGCACTCGGGAAAAAAGGACACAAAGGCAGCCCTCGGCAAGTGGGACGGGCCAGATGGCGCACTGTGCCTCTTAGCAACACACAAATAACTAACAAATGGCTTCGGAATAAGGCGGGAGTTTGTCAAATTCTTTCTTTGTTTTTTTTTTTAATAGGATCAACTTTTGAAATTTTGATGTGACTGTAAAGAATTTTGGGAAAATTTCAAAAAGGTCCTTTGAATATATGAAATCCCAGATTGGATCTTAGAATTTTCAAATGACAGAAAGGGTCAGTGACCCAATCTGTCATTTTGTGAAATTAAGACCAATTGACAATTTTGCCTGTGACTAAGTGAATAGTTATTCTCTACACAAATCTAGGTAACGCTTACACTGTTCTAGTGATTACAAGATTAGTTGTAGTTAATAATTACAAGATTAGTTTGTAGTAATAATTACAAGATTAGTTGTAGTTAATAATAGGTGTCTGACTATGAAAAAGTGAGTAGTTATTCTCTACACGAAAATGGCTTCGGAATAAGGCGGGAGTTTGTCAAATTCTTTCTTTGTTTTTTTTTAATGGGATCAACTTTTGAAATTTTGATGTGACTGTAAAGAATTTTTATGGGTTTAAAATAATCACGCAATTGCCATTAACGAGAAGAAAAATGAAGTTTTTCTTTTAAATTAATCAACATTTATGAAAATGAAGATTTTTTTGTATTTCGTGTGTATTCTTTTGTTCTTCATATTGAGTATGAAAAGTATTCAAGCTTCAATGAAGACAAAAATTCATTTTATAAAGTTATCGTAGTTTCTAATTCTAATCCTGATTCTTATTAACTCTTCAAATCTTATTCTGAGGGATATAGAGTTTGGAGGCCTTTCTTGCGAGCGATCATTGGGCCAATCTGTCTTTTGTTCTAAAAGGCTCGTTTTTTATTTAGAAAAAATTTGACACCTCAATACTGATTTCAATCTTGGGCCTGGCCACAAGTTGTAATTGGGACAATCCCTCCTCTAATGAATATCCAAATCCATAAAAAGAGGAAGCCGATCCATCCGGCAAATCCGAAAACAACGTGGGAGAATTATGACTGGGGACCATACTCGAAATACATATTTTTAAGGACTATTCATGTTGATAGTAAATACTCATTACTTGATTTGTAAATTTGGGTTGTTTAATGGAAGATAATGTTAAATATTTTTTAGTTGTAAATTTACATTATGTGAATGGTAATATTTATATTTCAATTGATAAATTTACATCATGCAAATACTTAAATTTGAACTGGCCTTCAACTTTTGCCCCCCAATATGTAAAGATAAATATGTAAAATGAATTTTGTCTTGTAACATATAAGATATCTTTTTTAAATTGGTTCAAACAATTATATAAGTCCATGAAATTTCTTTCATTTTTTTCCTAATAAAGGAAAAAAGAAACAGAGAACATGAATGTAAAGTCAAAACATCATGCAAATACTTAAATTTGAACTGGCCTTCAACTTTTGCCCCCCAATATGTAAAGATAAATATGTAAAATGAATTTTGTCTTGTAACATATAAGATATCTTTTTTAAATTGGTTCAAACAATTATATAAGTCCATGAAATTTCTTTCATTTTTTTCCTAATAAAGGAAAAAAAACAGAACATGAATGTAAAGTCAAAAAATGCTTAACCAAAACAGAGAAGAACAGGTTTGAACGTCTTTTTCAGTTTGGAGGTCCGAAAGAGCACTATATACGGTCTCTGTTTTCAAATGTTGTCCGCTCATCACGCCCATTCCCCAAACTAACATGACTCCTGTCTCCTTTGTATTATCATTATATTTATTTATTTTTACCTTTATTGTTTCTCCCCATCTTTTTCTTTTTCGTCCCCAAAGACGACACCAAGACACTTTCAAGATTTCATGTGTTGGCGGCAAAGACCAAAAGAGTTGAATGCTTGATAATATTCAAGTTCAACTTCTTTTCCCTTTAATTTGAGATTGATATCACATGGGCTGTTTGATTTTGATTTAAGTTTACTTGATTATAATTAATTATTGTTGACCATCATTTTGTTTCGACTGTGTTTTCTTTTAGGGTTATTCACAATATCAAGCCTGTTCTTTTTAAATTGAAGAGATTAATTTAAAAAGAGGCAGATAGCTAATTTAAATATATTAAATAAATTAATTAAGTTAGTTATGTATAACAAATATGTGTTCATTTATCTTAACTATTCTTTTTAATTAGGTTTATTAGAACTACTCTTGGTGGGAACTCCTTACAATTAATAAGAATATTTTGAGAAAAAATTATAAATTTGAGAGACAAAATAAATTGAAATCTTATATTTAGAACTAAAACGAATCCCCTAACTAGATTTTATGTTAAATACAGGAGGTAATATTATTTATGTTTCTTGTTTTGAATATTATATGCATAAACTTCCATTCTCATAATAATGGTGGCTCACCAAAGTGAGACCACAATGTACTGCGTTAGTTTCGTTAATCAACTTTGGGGAATCCAGAGAGAGCAAAGGAGGAAACTGGCACTTTTTTGCCGTTTGACAAGTTAGGGAGAAAAAATCAAGTCACACAAACATTACATATTCTTTCACATGTGAAAAGGATAAATAAATAGGAAAATTGAGGCATAGTGATTAAAATAGGTGTGGATGGAGCAAAGAGAAATGGGTGCGTCCCGCAGGCTGACATTGAGAGAAACTTGCACATGCAGCATCAACCTGCTAATTAAAGTGCTCATACCCCACACACCACCCAATCTTCCTTTCTTCTCTCCTCAATCCTCGCACCATTCCACGCCCTTCCCATTTCCCCCTTCATACCTACTTTTATTCTCTTCTAATCCAACCTTTTACTTTTCACTCCTCCCTCCACTTTCACTATACAATTTTACCTGGTACGTGTTATTATTAGTAATTTTATTGCAGGTTTTTAGTTCTCTCAATGTTGAGCTTTAGCTTGCACATAGATATGAACAGATCAGTCAAAAGGCTTCCATAACATTATTACTATTACTGTCTGGGACCACAGCATTATCATTTGCTTCTTTATTTATTATTACTAATTCCTGTTGAATGCCACCAATAAAGTTCTATATAACGAGCCTTCCCCTTCCATCCTTTGACAGTGGACTGTCCAGCTTTTCAGCTTGCCACTTCTCTCACTGAGTTCCCACCATGGCTTCCCACCGTCTCTCTTCCTTCTTCCTCCTCCTTCTTGCTTTTGTTCTTCTTCACTCTCCTCAAACTCAGGCAAGAGAAGGCAAGTTCTTCAGCTTCTTCTCCCACTTCACAACCTCTCACAGCAATCATCCCAAAGTCGTAGTTATCCCTCCCAAACTCAAATCTCACCCACCCTCGCCCTCACCTTCACATTCACCTTCTCCTTCTCCTTCTCCTTCAGAATCATCAATCGCAGCAACACCCGAATCAATACTCGCAGCCCCAGCACCTGCACCAGAATCAACAGAATCATCACCAGTACCTTCACCTGCAGAATCTGAGTTCGTGGACAGAGGAGATGGCTACGGCCTCTATGGCACCACAAGCTTCCAGAACAATGACAACCATGAGAACTTTAACAGAGTTTTGGCACCAAGCTTTACAGCACTACAACTACAACAACAACAACGAAGAGTTGTACAGAAACAACTACAACAACCAAGAGTATTACAATAATAATAATGATAGGTACTCCTACAACAACTACAACAACAACAACAATTTTTTTGAGAACAAAAATGGTTATTATAATGGGTATGAGAGGAAAAGAGAAGGAATGAGCGATACTAGGTTTGTGGAAAATGGCAGGTACTTCTATGACGTCAAGGGTGAGAATCAGAATTATCATTATAATTATAACGTTGATAGGTATGAGCCTACAGGAAGAGGGAGCACCACTACTGCTGAGAAGAATAATAACTATGGAGGGAGTTACTATGAGAACAACAACAACTACTACAGGAAATATCCTAATGAGTTTGACACCATGGAAGAGTATGAGAAGCAGCAGGAAAGCCAGGGATATGAACCTTGATCAGTGTTTTTTTGTTCTCTGTCTTTTTTTCTTTTTCCTCCTAATGATGGTTCAGAGAGAGTGATGGAGAGGCATAGAATTAATGTGATGAAGGAGTATGCATATAAGATCGAAAGAAAAAGAATTACTGAATTATATGATGAAATATGTGTCATCTGTTATCTTCAAGCTAGTTTCCTTTCGTGATCGACATGTAGGGCACAGTAGTTTCATGTTTCTGCAGTTAGAAACAGTTATGAAGAATATAATTATATACAATGATTCTGTGGTTGTGACTTCAGTTTTGAAGAGTGGGTACATCTGGCATCTGAATTTGTTCATCAATCATGGAAACTAGATTTGTTTAAGTAAATTCTAGACAAAGGAATGGCATTGTTCAAATTAAATTTTGGCTGTTCATGTAACTAAACTTTGAAGAAGGGGAATTTAAATCACACTTGATAGGTTACAAAGAATTTGTGAAGAACAAATCACTGTCTCAGAGTTAGATAAAGAGAATTTGGACACTACTTTTACATCTTGTGTTGCTGAATGTCATATAAAGAGCCAGTGACAGGGATGAACTTTAATTATCAACAGAAAAACTATTATTAATTTTCTTCTCTTGGATACTCTTCATTTTCTCAAAACTTGTTGGAACAAAATCACGTATGAGATTTCTTTTCAGCCACATCACATACAAGATCAAGTCATGACTTTTGCCTAGGAGTAGGACCACATTAGTAATCATAAATGCTTGCAATTCAATTTTAAATAAAGAGAGGTCATTGAACAGACACAATAATTATTCATTAAAATAGATGTGTCCATTTTAGTCTATTATGGTTTCCAATTTACTTTGCAGTGCAGCATATGGGGTGCAGAAAAGTAAACCAATGAATTCACTTTAGTCCTTGGGGCCCAACTGAAATTTCTATAGAAGAAAAAGTATAACTTAGGAAGGAGAAATAATTATTAAACTTACCACAGAACCAGACAATTTGTGCTGAAAGGAAGAAGTGTGAGTTTATTTGAGATGTAATTTGATTTACAGTTTGGACATAAATAATAATTATGTCCACAATTATTGCTCCCTGGGTTGATGACTTTTTATTTCAATCAATCTTCGGATGCTGCAGGCAGGCATGCATGCAATGATTTATCTCCCTTTGCTCCTTTTCTTTTACTTCCTTTTTTTTTTTTTTTTTTTTTGCCTTTTTGTTCAGTACAAGGGGAAACTCTACAGGGATCTAGTTCTTTTACTATGCCCCCTTCACAATTTCAATTTGGATTGAAATTCAATGTGGTGCTTAACTGAACATTCACTCGTCGTATACTGAATACTGATCCCTTTAATATTAAATATAGCAGTAGGTAACTAATAATATTAAACAATTACTTAAATTAGTTATTTATATTTGATCATTATCACATTGATAGAAACCCCAATTCACATATACAACCAGTATAGATGAATAACTTGAAAAAATAATAAATTTGAGAGATAAAAATTGGATTGATATCTTAATCAAAGTAAATATCCCAACTTCTTACCAAAAAAAAAATCCTAAACTCCTGTATTTAGATAAGAAGGAATATATAATCTAGCAAAAATGCAGAAGTATTATATAAAATTCCTCCATTTTTCGGGCCTAGAATGCTCTCCCTCTCCCACGTTGTGCCATCAAGAGTTAAATATTGTTGGGTACTAAATGTGAGCAACTTTTATAATATGATTTCTCCATCATCTATGCAGTCCAGTCCATTATCTCGACAAAAATCCCACCAGGAGAAGCCCAAATTTACAAGCAGGACAAAAAAGAGCAGCCCAAATTTGGATCCACACCACAAAATTGGGTACGGAGCTCTACCTTGGATGATCCATATAGGATTTTGGGCTAACCAAGCTTGGCCCAAACCTTGATCCCCTCCACAAAATGGGTAGCGATGCTATTTCTTGGATGACCCATATAGGCTTTTGGGCCAAGCAAATAAAAAGCACGACGTGAAATCCTGGGCAACACGAAAGCTCGGTGATACAAGACAAGGTTGCTTGCTTTGAAGATTTTCGTTGTTCAGTTTCAGTGTCTTCCCAAGAATTTCAGCTCCGGTATTTTCTTCTCCTTGTGCTCTGTTATCGAGCGAGAACATCAATTGCTCTATTGTATTCACCGTTGAATGCTTGCTCTTCTTTTCGCAGTATTTTCCAATTTAGGGTTTAAGTTTATTGGGGACTTGCAATGGCGCCCGATCCAAACCGTACTGCCGGCGGTGCCAGTGGGAGTGGTACCACCAAAGAAGGCAAAGATGAGGCCTTGGCGAAGAAGAAGGTCGAAAACGAAGATCTGGTGAGTCTAGAAGAGTAGAGTGTAGTTTTCTGGGGTATTGTCACTGATTCTGGATTCGAATTTTGTCAAGATTGAACTGAAGTACCTAACGCATAAAAAAGAAATTTCTAAAATCTTTTTTTTCTTTAAGTGGAAAAAGATTTTTATTAACCGCTGAAGCTAGTGCAGCTACTGGTAGTTTAGGTTTGACGCCTTGAATGAATACGTGCTCTTTCTCAGAGAGGAGCTAACGATTACTTCTCTTTTGGATTTTTCTCGTTTCTTTTGATCTATTTAAAGTTGGAGTGTCATGGGTTTTTTTGAATTGTGCGTGCAGTCGGACGAGGATTTAGCGTTAAAGCAACAGCTGGAATTGTATGTGGAGAGGGTTCAGGATCCAGACCCCGGCTTGCAAAAGGTCGCTCTGGAGAGTATGAGGTAAGCGTACATGTACTTGGTCATTTAATTGAATGATAATTAGGTCATTCAAGGTAGTTGAAAGGGAGGTAAGTCGTTTTGGGCGGGAATTTCCATTGTGGGTTAACATTGGATGTATACTTGTGTTGCAGACAGGAAATTCGCACGTCAACAAGCTCCATGACGTCTGTTCCGAAGCCACTAAAGTTTCTGCGCCCCCATTATGGAACTCTGAAAGCATATTATGAGACTATGGCAGAATCCGATTTGAAGGTATCATATGCGTTATTTGTATTTCTGTCTTAAATAGGTTGATGTGATGATCTTGTTCTTAGTCAGTTGCTCTTTACTTAATGCAGAAGTACTTGGCTGACATATTATCAGTTTTGGCTTTGACAATGTCCGCTGAGGGAGAGCGGGTAAGACTTGCCGTTTAAGTACTTCATAGTTATATGGTCTCTCTAACTACTATTGTTGGTTGTGTATGGAGTGTTAGGGGTGCAATTTTTTCCAATGTATGTGTCATTGTGCTATTTGATTTGCATTTCTCACTTAATCTCTAATGATGTTGGTTAACATCTCTTTTTAAATCCCTTAAAGTTTTCCGCTTTTTTATTAATGCAAGACCTGTTTCTAACATTATACATTCTGCTGTGTCATGCTATATCGACTGTCAGGAAAGCCTGAAGTACAGATTGTTGGGTTCAGATGGTGATATTGGCTCATGGGGCCATGAGTATGTAAGGTGAGCATCATGTTTTTTCGTGAAATTATTTGCTTTAGAATGATTGGGGTGGATCGGTTGGATGTAACAGTGTACGATGAGGAAATTTTAAATCAGGCTTGTGCCTAAATCTTATTCTCACCAGTTCTGTGTTTCCTTTTTTTCAGAAATTTGGCGGGCGAAATTGCTCAGGAGTATGCTAAACGACAGGTTAGGCACTTGTCTAACCCAAAAGATATTATGTTCGTTAAAATTGTTGCTGATGCTTCTATAGTATGTTGTGCATTTTTGGTCCAATGAATGATTGATCATGCTAGCATTACCTGAAGTGTAATTATAGTTTCAGGTATTGACTATTTTTGTGTTTTCAAAAGTTGGAACCTAAAGCCTCTAGAAGTGGTTTGGTTTTGGGGGATTTGGGTAATATACACCAAAATGAAAAGGTTTGAAGGCACATTAGCATTATTCTCTATGATATTATGTGGTAACCAGAATGAAGTTGCAATACTGTTAATAGTTGTCAAAGAAGATTTTTTTTTTGTTTTTTGGGGGAATAACTGTTCATTAGATACTTAGAATGGCAACCTGGACTTTTATCCTGTAGTTTTACCTGTGTATCCAATTCAACTCTATGATTCTCTTTTGCAGAGTGAAGAGGCCCCTATTGATGATCTTATGGAGCTTGTGCAACAAATAGTTGCTTTCCACATGAAGGTATGATATATCTCAATCTTTATTCAGTGAAGAAAGGTAATCTAGGTCTTTAAGATAGATGAAATATGTAATAGACACGTGTTCGATGAAGATATTTATGTTTTGAAAAATTTGAATCCTGTTACAGCACAATGCAGAACCTGAGGCCGTTGATCTCTTGATGGAGGTAACCTGTCGAATCCTCTCCCCCCCCCCCCCCCCCAAAAAAAAAAAAGAACTGCTTAAGATGGTAAGCTGAAGTTGATTTTATGTGATCAAATGTTAACTTATAGGTTGAAGACCTTGATATGTTGATTGAACATGTTGACAAGACAAATTTCAAGCGGACTTGCTTGTATCTGACTAGTTCAGCAAGGTAAGTGCAATAAATCCAGGTTTTTGAGCTTAGCATCTAGTGCTTCATTCAGATCACTTAAATTCATGACTTACGAAGGAACGGGATAACTTGTATCGTATTTTCGTGTGAAGTTGTCATCTAGTTCTGCACTTTTCGCTTTTATTAATTATTAATATTATTTTCCTTCTCATGGGCAGCTCAACTTTTAGGTTGTAATTTTGTTATTGGTTGGTTTTGAAGTGACAGCCGCTTTAGGATTTAGAAATTGCTATTGACATTATCATCTGCATTTGGACCTCCTACCTCAATTGTGGTCAATGGAATTCTGGATTGGGAGTTACTGGCTCAAGTGGCATAATACAGTCATTCATGATGTGTTTATGCAGTTACAATTTCTGAGGTTCCATATCATTCTTAATTTGGGCTTCACAACTGGAGTTACATGTTTTGTATTGTAGAGAGGATAAGTTTACTAGCTAAAGTTTAATAGTGTACCTGGGTCAAAATGAGAGGGGGAGATTAGTGTTTCATCTGGGGAAGTTGTCTTGTGCTTATGTTTATTGTTCAGGGTTAGGTTAATAAACTGACTTTGTGTTCCTTTTTTCTCATGCACTCAAGTAAATAAGTTATAATTGTTACATTTTCAGATACCTTCCTGGGCCAGATGATATGTTAGTGTTGGACATCGCATATATGATCTATCTAAAATTTGAAGAATATCCAAATGCACTTCAGATTGCATTGTATCTGGATAACCTGCAGGTGTGACTTTGTTGTTAAATGATTTATTTTTCCTCTTTTTGAAGCTTTCTGACTCAGAAGTTAGTAATTATAATTCTTTTAATTGCAAATTATTCATCTGTAATGCACTAGTTCAAATGAATTAAATCTTGCAGTATAGGACAAATAATTTTTATATCCCTCTATTTTAAGATATTTTATAGTTTAAATTTAAACTAACAATTTGCTGCGTCATTTACAGTATGTGAGGCAGGTTTTTACTTCTTGTGACGATCTTCTGCGGAAGAAGCAGTTTTGTTACATACTTGCTCGACATGTAAGTCCTGAATAATCTATTAGTACTTGATGACCATCTTGTTGAAGTTTCCTTTGCACGTTTCTTGTGGACTACCCTTTTTGAACCTCTTCTGTTCTGATGATATTTGCTTCATGCATTGATTGCTTTAGTTTTATAACTCGTGGTAATTAAAACCTGAAGTTGACCTGGAATTATTCCCTGTCATGGATAGTATGAATTGTAGGATACTGTTGCATTTATCCATTTATAGATAAAGACGTATGCTCTATATGGTTGCTCCCTTATTGCTTTATTAAAGTTGGAAATTCAATTACTTTAGTGCAGAAGACGCCACAGGAAATATGTTCTTGCAGATTTAATATTTTTGAGTTTTTTTTTTTCCGGAAAAAAATTTTGATTTGTTGATTACTATTTCCATGCAGGGAATTACTTTTGAGCTAGATGAAGAGATAGTTGCTGATGACGATGACAGGGAGTTGTTGCAGGATATCATCAACAACTCTAAGTTAAGTGAAGGATATTTGTCCCTTGCTCGTGATATTGAAGTGATGGAGCCTAAATCCCCTGAAGATATATACAAGGTATCTATTATAGTGACATTTCCCTTTTTCTTGAATAAGACTGGACTTGGTAAGACTTTTTGTGCTGGATTTTTTTTAAATTACTTTTTTTGAAAAATTCTTCCTGAGATAGCCTTAATTATTTTTATTTATAGTAATTGATAATTTATAATGGATAATAATTTTGTAATTTTACAGAGATTTTTGTATTGTACTACTCTATAATGAGCAACAATAGTTAAGAATGGGGCACTTTATGCAATTGGCATGAAATCTTAGATGAATGGCATTTCGATTAATGATTGTGCTCAAGATTCACGTGTATAGTGAAAAATGTTTATTACTATGCCATCTATTGTCGTTTCTTCCATTTCCTTGGATTGTTTTCAACCTCAATTTTCTGTTTTTGCTCCCATAGGCACACTTGCTTGATGGTCGGGCTAGTGCTGGTGCTAGTGTTGATTCAGCTAGACAGAACCTGGCTGCTACTTTTGTGAATGCTTTTGTAAATGCTGGCTTTGGTCAGGTATGTGGTCATAGTTGTAGGGTAGCATGTGTGTGTGTGAGGAAAGTTTGTGGGTCACTAATTTCTTCTGATGACCTTTGTCCTCTTCTTTTTGTGCAGGATAAGTTGATGACTGTTGCATCTGACTCCTCAAGTGGTGGCTCTTCTGGGAATTGGCTTTTCAAAAATAAGGAACATGGGAAGACTAGTGCCGCAGCAAGTCTGGTATGCATTCTATTGCTGAATTATATTTTTGGCCTTATGGACTAAAACCCTTTATTTACAAATCTTTGCATCATAACAGGGTATGATTTTACTCTGGGACGTTGACTCTGGACTTGCTCAAATTGACAAGTACTTCCATAGTAATGATACACATGTCATTGCTGGTGCTTTATTGGGAGTTGGTATTGTAAATTGTAGCATCAAGAATGATTGTGATCCTGTGAGTGCTTTTATTTATTATTTTGCTCAGACTCGTATATTATTTCAATTTCTATGTTGTATCTTATTTGAGTCCTTTTCAGGCGATGGCACTTTTAGGTGATTACACAGACAAAGAAGATTCATCAATTAGGATTGGTGCAATTATGGGGTTGGGAATTGCCTATGCAGGTTCTCAGAATGAGCAGGTGAATTGTTTCTCATCATTTTTGTCCGCTGAGTGCTGATCTTATACCTGGGATTCTGTGTGTATCCAAGTGGGCTCGTTTTCTCTTTAGGGAAAAAAATCTTACCTTGTCCATGGTTTTGTCAGTTACGCTACAAATTGGCACCTATACTGAATGATGCTAAAGCTTCACTTGATGTGGTTGCTTTTACTGCAATTTCATTGGGCTTGATCTATGTGGGTTCTTGCAACGAAGAAGTTGCGCAAGCAATTATATTTGCATTAATGGACCGCAGTGAGGCAGAGCTGGGAGAGCCCCTCACACGGCTTTTGCCTCTTGGCCTTGGCCTTCTTTACCTTGGGAAGCAGGTACTGAGATGTTTGGCAGTATCTTGTACAGGTTTCCTGTAGCACCACTTCTATTCTCTCAAAGCAGGTAACAGTTTATTTGGTTATAACAGGAAACAGTGTGGAGGCAACAGCAGAAGTTTCAAAGACCTTTCATGAAAAAATCAGAAAATATTGTGACATGACACTATTATCATGTGCCTACGCTGGAACTGGGAATGTCCTCAAGGTGCATTTTATGGGAGTTTAATTGCAATTCCCCCTTTCCCCTCTAGCAAATATTTATAATTGTTCATGCTTCTTTGAATCAGGTGCAAAACCTTTTGGGTCATTGTTCGCAACATCTTGATAAAGGTGAAATGCACCAAGGTCCTGCTGTGATTGGAATTGCTATGGTTGCAATGGCTGAAGAGTTGGGTCTTGAGATGGCAATTCGATCATTAGAACATCTTCTACAATATGGAGAGCAGAATATCCGCCGCGCAGTACCTTTGGCACTTGGTCTACTGTGTATATCAAACCCAAAGGTAAGTATGAGCTTGCTTTCCTGTGATTTTTCCTTCTGGTAACTATGACTGTGTAATACATACTCTCCGTTCTGCTGGGAAAATGGCCTAGTTAAATTACCTGATAGAATGTTATTTTGCTTACAAGAGCTGCATGATTGAGTTTATGTTTTGGGGTGTGAGTCCATAGATGAGAGAGCCATTGAAGAATGACGCCCGGCATTTGGGAGGAGAGGAGTGAGAGAGATGGGTATTTGAGGCGATTTGTGAGAAAAGAGTGAGAGATACGGTGAATTGGGAAATATGGAAGCTGTTGAGATGATATTTAAAACTAGTATTATGGTTCAAATTAGATGTCGCTCTTTTATTTTATTGAAAGATAGGTAATTATATATATATTTTAACTCTTTTCAGATTTTAAAAGTAGATATGATCTTTTAATTTTTAAGATTAGTTTCTAAAAACATAACGAAAGAAAGATTGGCTTGAAAAAATGATTATTTTTTTTATTTATTAATTAAAAAAGATCTTTTTTTGGGGGATTCTTAAGATTTAATTATCCTTATTTAATTATATGTACAAATATCTATTTTTATTTAAATATTTATAGAAATGTTTATATATTTTTATCCATATTCAACTTTAAAGATTTAATATTATATATATAATGAAAATAGTACCCTTTTTAGTGGCTCTGCATTCAAGAGTACTTCGAATTCGTCTCGTTCAAATAACTTAGCTTATCAAACTGAAGTGAACTATTGGCAAACTGAAAACCAAACATGTTATAAACATTTTCTAATTCTGTGATCGGATGTTCATGACAGGTCACTGTGATGGATACCTTAAGCCGGCTGAGCCATGACACTGATTCAGAAGTAGCAATGGTAAGATATTGGAGCCAGCTTTACTTCAATGTTTTTTGTCTGTCTCCTGCTGCTGGTCATGGCTGAAATAACAATTTTCATGCTACAGGCAGCAGTTATCTCCCTGGGTCTAATAGGTGCAGGGACCAACAATGCACGAATTGCTGGCATGCTTCGCAATCTTTCAAGCTATTACTACAAGGACACAAGCCTTCTATTTTGTGTATGCTTCATCTAAGTTGCTTAAGAATTTCGCATCTTTTGGTTTTTGTAGAGTAGCTAAATTGCTGTTGCCCCTTCTACAGGTCCGAATTGCCCAAGGTCTTGTGCATTTGGGGAAGGGCTTATTAACACTTAATCCATATCATTCTGATCGCTTCTTACTATCACCGTATGTTGTTCCTCGCTCACCCAGGCTGATAGAAAACCAAAAGTGATATGTATTGCTTTGTTGTAAATGTTTCTGAATGACATTGTTCTGCTCCTCTCCTCACAGGACTGCTCTTGCTGGACTAGTTACCATGTTGCATGCATGCCTTGACATGAAAGCCATTGTCTTGGGAAAATATCACTATGTTCTGTACTTCCTCGTTTTGGCCATGCAGGTTAGTTTTCATGCTGAGTCATATATCCTCTGTATGGTCTTATGTTAAGACACGGATCTAAGCCTTTATTTTTGTGGCAACAGCCAAGGATGTTGTTGACTGTGGATGAAAGCTTGAAACCTCTGTCTGTGCCTGTTCGCGTGGGTCAAGCTGTAGATGTTGTAGGGCAAGCAGGTCGTCCTAAGACAATCACGGGTTTTCAGACACACTCCACCCCTGTACTCCTTGCTGCTGGTGATAGGGCAGAGTTGGCCACGGAAAAGTAAATACCGAACTATCTCAAAATTTCAGAGTACCATATTTTCATATTTTGTTAGTCTGATCATGCCCAATAATCCTGTTATTGTTTTCACTGCAGATATATTCCACTATCGCCCATTCTTGAAGGTTTTGTTATTTTGAAGGAGAATCCAGAGTACAGGGAAGACTAAAAGAACCACGAAATGCGGCCTCTTCCCTCTCCCCCCGTCTCTCTCTTAATGTTAAGCATTTGATTAGTATTTTTTTGAAAGAAAAATTGGCATAAACATGTTATAAGAAAGTATTTAAATTAATAGCTTGCCCCCCATTTTGAATGAAGCAATTTAGTGTGCTTTGAGGTCAATAACGTTCCATGACAATTGAATTCCTGAGAATTCAATATCAGCATTAGTTGTTTGACATCGCATACCCGATCATTACGAGTGAGAAACAGGAAAGCCTGCTTGAGAAGGTTACTCCTTTAGTTGTGGAAAACAAATCGTTTATTTTTTTTTTCATATAAATTTATTATAACACGCCAGTTTGTTATTAGGGCCTAAATCATTTGAGATGGGATTGCTTGGCCATTTAGTGGCTGCGTTTTTGGGGCTAGTCGCCAAATTTTGTATTGAATAGGACTCTGGACGGCCGAAAAAGGGGACTTTGTTATTTGAGAGAATAATTAATAATTAACATCAATATGAAATATTAAATTTTATGACTCATGAGCCATGAATACTGAATGGATTCACACGAATATTTGACACGTCATTTCGTCATCCTCGTTTTCTCACCCGTAGTACCGAGCTTGCTATGCATTTCTACTTCTTGGATCGACTTAAGTCTTTATTGACTTTAACATCCTAAAATATGACCTCTGGTACTAAGAGTAGTTGCATAATTTGAATAAAATAGGAAAGTTTATTAAGTTGGTTATTTATAATGAATATTATCTTTAGTTTTTAATATAAAACTTGTTTGATTTTTATTCTGATCTTAAATATAAAATTTTAATCTACTTTGTTTTTCTTTTTTTTCTCCAAAATAATCGTTGTAATAATGGTAGTTATAATTAATATATTTGATTAGCAAGAATATTTTAGAAAAAACAATATATATTTGTTGTAAATAATTAATTAATGTTCTCAATCTACCCACATTAGTCAACTAATTCTTATATTAAAGACCGAAAGTAGTATATGTCTTTTTTACAATATCCTTATTGATCATGTATATTAGTTAAAACTACTATTTAATGCAACTTTTAACATATGCAAATAGTATAAGGTTTACTTTGAAAAATAGATAAATATAAAAGACAAAGTGCATTTGAGACTTATATTTAGGACCAAATTGAAAGTAAAATTATCTTTTATATTAAGGACCGTAGGTGGTATTTAATTTCTGCTTAACCTAAGTAATACTCCTCATATTTAACTAATATTTTATTAATTTGATTAGATTAAGAAAGTTAGGTAAACTAGTAATTATAATAAATATGTTTTTCAAAGAAACACCTAATCATTTTTCTTAATACATTTCATTTATTTCTTATTTGATTATTGTTGAGGAGTATTTCTAAAAGTAACTTGAAAAGTAATTTTATAAATATAAAAAATAGGTCTTATATTTAAAATTAAGATTAATAACTTCATAATTAGGTTTTACATTAATAAGTCTTATATTTAGTATTAAAATTAATAACTCCATAATTAGATTTTAAAGTTAATTCTTGGTCAACAGAAGTAATGGGTAATCTCCATGTAACGCAATGCCCAGGCCCCACAAAAACATAATCATATGCCTAATGATTTTAAAAAGAAAAAGACTTAAAAAGGCGAAAACACAATGCCCTGTATTAAACAGAATTATATACTCCTCCGGTCCTAATTATAAGACCCAATTGACTTATTTGAGGAGATTAAAGAAGTAAGTTAAGTTGGTTATTTATAATAAATAAGTGTTGTTATTCCTAAAATATCCTTGCTAATTAAGTATATTGGCTAAAACTATCATTATTAGAAGGATTATCTTGGAAAAAATGCATAAATATAAGAGAGAAAATGGATTGGGTCTTATAATTAGGACCAAATAAAAAGTCAAATTGGGTCTTATAATAAGGACCGGAGGAGTATATTTTTAATGATGTATGAAATTTGTATGCTTTTATATAGGGCGGTGGGCACAGAATTTAGAAATTAGTAGTAGAAAATAACATATATGTGCTTATTTTTGAATCCTTTCTTCCCCGGCTTGTTCGTTTTGGCGCTAGGGTTGTCATATGCAGTCAGGCATTGTTGCTTTGCACTCACTGTTCAAACCAGCTGCTTAACAAAGGAATCCGGGCTAGTCTGCCTTCGGGATTTGGACCGTTATCTCACTCTACCCGACGATGCACTAGAGTTTTGGTCTTTTGGGTAACTTGTGTGATTACAAGATATTGACTGTGTCGTGAGATTCGGCGTGAATATTTTGTTCCTTACCCGCAATGAAGGTTAAGGTTATATCACGCTCTGCTGATGAGTTCACTCGAGAACGAAGTAATGATCTTCAGGTAATGCAGGCTCTGCTTCTAGTGTTTTTTAATTTATTCTGTATCGCCAAGTTACTTTTTTTCCCCTTCCTCTGTCTGAATTTGTGTTTTGTTCATTGGAATTGGAAAAGAGGGTGTTCCACAATTATGACCCGAGCATTCGTAGTCAAGAGAAGGCGGTAGAGTATGTGCGCGCTCTTAATGCGGCTAAGTTGGAGAAGGTAAACAAAATTTCTTAGCTCAAGAAATTTGTTTTTTTTTTTTTTTGGGTAAGTTTCTAATTTTGAAAGGTTAGATTTTTGCAAGACCGTTTATTGGAGCAATGGATGGGCATATAGACGCTGTTTCTTCTACGGCGAAGAACCCTAATCATTTGAAAGGGATTTTCTCAGGTTCAATGGATGGAGGTATTTTTCTCTTGTTTTGATCCTCTATCTGTTATGTAGTTATATTCGCACGAATTAATGGATGTGCCCATATATTTTAGGAATATTTCACGCTGCACAAATTCTGCATGGTTCAGGGTGATAGTTAGCTTCAGGATATAATGGAAAGGATGGATAAGTTGTGTACATAACGAATCAAATAATACTGTTAGCTCCTGTTTGAGGAATGAGATACGTTGCGAGAGAAGAGGACGCTGTTTTTCCAAATTGACTCATGTCTCTCCAATTTACTAAATGTGTACATGAAAATACTTGGCACACCCTGGTTTGTTGTTTGAAACTTGAGTTGTTTCAAGCTTAATAAAATTATCAATTCGAGCCTTCTTAAAGCAAATACAACCGTGCTTGTTGCATGCCAAGTACTAAAGCTCAGAGAAGCCAATTTCAATATCAGAATGGTTCTCTGTGCACCATTTTTTTGGGTGCAACGTATTAGATTTTTCATGTAAGAATAATGAAATATATCCAATTCAAAGTCACCCATGCCTTGCATGACTTTTCCCCGAACTTTGAGCAAGTTTATTCTTTTTTAAAATTTATGGTGATTATTTTTGTAGGAAGTGTCTCCTATGTCAGTTTGCCCGTTCTGTCCAGCCTTGAGTTTTGAATTGTAACTTCACATTTTCATCATTTTCATTATATGCCAAGTTTGTGATTTTGCTATGTATTCGTTATCAGTGTGTCTCCTATTGTGTGACTCTGTTTTACAGTTTTATCCATTTAGGCTGAATATGGATTGCCTCAGTGTAAGTGGAATTGTAACGTTGATCATTGTGTATGCAGATATTCGGCTCTGGGATATATCTTCAAGGTAAAAAAAAAAAATTGTTTAATTTTACTTATCTATGATGCTTGTGCTGTCAAATACTATGTAATATTTTTTGGCAATGTAGAACTTTTTGTGAGATTTACTTGGTAACCTTTAATGATCAACAAAAAGCCTAATGCGCATGAATATTTATGTGGGGGAATTTTTTTCTACATGCATATGTTCATGCTTCAAACAAAGATTGAAGTATTAACCTGTAAATTAAATTGTTTTGAATTGTCATGCCAAGCGCGAATGTTTGACATGCGTTGGATGATGGACATGTTGTACCCATTGCGTTAGATATTTTCTCTTGGAGAGTTCTATGCACAAGATCCATGCGTTTTATCCATGCGTTTTTGGTGTCCCTATGTAAGTAGTATTCATTGCTTGTTTTTGGAAATAAAAAGGCGTACAGTTTGTCAATTTCCTGGTCATCAAGGTGCTGTACGAGGCCTGACAGTATCTACAGATGGACGGATTCTTGTATCATGTGGAACTGATTGCTCGTAAGGATCACTTTCCCCCCCAATTCAGTAATCACTTTCCCTGTTGTCAAGCTTTTTTATCCTTGGGTTTTATCAGTAGCTAATTTTTATGATCAAAACTGGACTTTATTGGTTCAGTGTCAGGCTTTGGAATGTTCCTGTTGCTGCACCTTTTGAGTTAGATGGTTCAACTGAGAATTCTGCGAAGGTGGTGCATTCTCATGCGTTATTGATAATTAGTTTTCTGCTAGATATGATTTTTTAAAGGATATTCTTGCTGACAATTTTATAAACTACTGTTGCAGCCCATTAGTGTTTATGTTTGGAAGAATGCATTTTGGTAAGTGTTGGGATGAACTTAAACATATATCATAAAGATATTAGAGAAAATACTTTTTCTAAGCCTTTATTTTTAAACTGTAGGGGTGTTGATCATCAGTGGGATGGTGAGCTGTTTGCTACTGTTGGTGCCCAAGTAGATATATGGAACCACAACAGGTTTTGATTTCAGTTTCTGCTTAGCGTACTTCCTTAAGCACTGTCTGAATTATTCATCTATTTATTTCCTGATGATGTTCTTCCCTTGTGCAGGTCTCAGCCAGTAAACAGTTTTGAATGGGGATCAGATTCAGTCATATCTGTCCGGTTTAATCCAGGAGAACCAAATCTCTTGGCAACATCAGCTAGGTATGCTGGGATTTATGTGCACTAACTCATTTGCAGAAGATTGAAATGACTATATTGACCAAAAGTTATGCAGAAAAATATGCCTACCATTTCATTTCAAAAGTGGAATGTGATTAAGGATTTGGTTTCCTTCATTTAGCATTTCACATAAGTCGCTAATTCAAATTTCAAGTAATTTTTGCTTTAAACTCCAGCTGGAAAAATGATGATCAGATTATTTTACTTGTGTTCGTGGGTTAATTTTTTTCAATCTGCTTTCTTTTTGTAGTGACCGGAGCATAACACTATATGATTTGCGTATGGCTTCTGCTGTCAGGAAAATTATAATGATGGTAATGATGACAAATTTTTACTTTGCATGTATGGCAAGAGTTTTTGTATTGTGAATTTTTTTTTTTTTTAAAGCATGGATTTCACATTTATTTCATCATATATTAGATTCTCACCTAGATGATACTTTTCGTTCTTTTATCTTGGGTGCCTTCCGTGCTTTTCAAATGTATTTCTGCATGGCAACACTGACTTGTACTTCATTGTTGCAGACCAAAACTAATGCATTATCTTGGAACCCGAGGGAGCCATTAAATTTTACTGCTGTAAGTTCATCAGCTGTTTAACGGGTGTTTCCAAAGTTAATATTGCTTAGATCTGCTCCTATTTGGTATGCATCTGATACGATGCATGTACTATACTTTTACAATGCACGTAACTTATTTTAATATTTTTATTATTAGTTTTTTCTTTGATATATTCCAAAACAACGTAAAAACTTGGCCAATGGTCAATTTTTAGTTATTAATATTTCTACATTACTTGTAAAATGTTTGTTGAAAACTCATCTTTTGTATTGTTAACTTTTTATGTGTTAATTCATTGAAGATATACATAATTATGCATGTAAGCCTCCTTTACTTGTATCTTAAAATTTTAAAGTTTGTTGTATCAGACTCATCATATTGCACCTGATACACGGACTTATATTTGGTTTTTGGGATACGTGTGTGTAAGTTCATCTTTTTAGTTTCAAAATGTGGTGAGTTTATGTTTTCTGATCTACAAATTCCTCTGATATCCAGGCAAATGAAGATGGTAATTGCTACAGCTATGATGCTAGGAAACTTGATGAAGCCAAATGTGTTCACAGAGATCATGTTTCTGCTGTGTGAGATGAACGCTCTTCAAATATTTATATCATTTTTTTGGAGCGATTCATTTAATTATCTTGTTAATGTTTTTTAACATTTGTTTCACTTTACAGCATGGATATTGACTACTCACCAACCGGCCGGGAATTTGTCACTGGATCATATGATAGAACAGTTAGTTCCTTTGGATCTGCTTTAACCTATTAATCTTCTCTTTCCAAATTTCCGTTTTGCTCACTTGCTTTTTCTCGTTATAGGTAAGAATTTTCCAGTATAATGGTGGCCACAGCAGGGAGATTTATCATACTAAGAGAATGCAAAGGTTCACTTGGTTTTTATATCTTGGACCAAGGGTTCCCTTTCGTTTGTTTACTTACATGGCAATTAAACACTTGATCTGATAGATCTCTATTCCATGAGATGACTTGATTTGTTTCTTTGTTGTGCAGGGTATTCTGTGTTAAATTCAGTTGTGACGCAAGTTATGTCATTTCCGGAAGCGATGACACTAATCTCAGGCTTTGGAAGGCTAGGGCATCAGAACAACTTGGAGTTGTAAGATGTCTTCCTTACCTCAAATCTTCCATTACGAATATTTAGGTCAATTTGTTAGTTGTTAATGCATTTTCTTGGAGCTTATGTGCTAATCTCGTGCTCATTTATAATATTTTAGATGATGAGTTGTTGATAAATTGATTTCGTTATGAGACCCTTTCCTGCCCTGATCATTTCTTGTGACTACTGTGCTGCAGCTTCTGCCAAGGGAACGGAAGAAGCATGATTATCATGAAGCCCTAAAGAATCGCTACAAGTACCTCCCTGAAGTGAAACGTATTGTGAGGTAAGATATGATCTAACAACCATTTTAGTGAATTGTTGGAGTAACAATCATGTCATGCATTTTTTTTTTTTTTTGGGCACAATGAAACCTTGCTTATTTCTTTTGGTTTTGTTCAACAGGCACAGGCACCTGCCAAAACCTATATTCAAAGCCACTAGTCTCATGCGTGTTATGGCCGATGCTCGGAAAAGAAAAGAGGAGAGAAGGAAAGCTCACAGTGCCCCAGGTAGCATCAAAACAGAGCCATTGCGGAAAAGAAGAATCATCAAAGAAGTTGAGTAAGATATACATGAGCTTGTATCTTCCCGGAAATAGAGCCAAGACATATGTACTCACAAGAATTGGAGAAAATATTCGATTAGCATGCCATTGGTGGGGACGCCCTCTGTTGGTATGTATTTCGTGCTCGGCAGATGTCTGGGGTAAATGGAATGATGACTACAGTTTGATACCTCCTGATTTCCAAGTGAATCCTGAGTTCTATGCACATTAGTGAATCTGGTAGGTGATATTGTGTGTTGTAACGTTACTTTATTGAGCCTGCAAGAAAAATTTTGGTCTATTCTTTATATTCGTAAAATCTGATATTCTGATTATATGCTGAGTTTGAACTCAAGAATTACTCGAGTCACAAGAATGGAATAATCTATGCTTAGTCATACTAGACTCTGTCATGCACCTAATTCCATGAACAAGTTTGGTTCATAGTCTGCAAATGTATAAATGAGTATCGCTCAAGAGATGTTACTAAAGCATGTTTAAAATTTCAATATGATTTTTATTAGTCACGATTATTCTATTCTATACTCAGCTCACCCTAAAGCACATGAAACAATTCATTTTTATTTTTTAATAAAATTTTATCTTCAGTTGATCTGTACGTGTATATATCTACATATGTATTGTGATAGTTAAAAGAGAATTATACGATATTTTAAGAACAAGTGTATTTAGTCACATTAAAAATTAATGCTTTTGCAATTAAGAACATGACACAAATCAGGTGGCCTTTGCACTAGTATACCCAGGAAGTTTTGTATCTTGCCAAGTCAACTGTTTCGCTAAAACTTAGGTGGCTTGCTGAATCTCAAAACTCAAATCACTCTGGTACTACTCATTCATGAAGAGAAGTCACAGTAAAAAGCTGTCCTCTGGTCATTTAAAAGACATATGATTCTATCATGTATTTTTTCAATTTGACCACAACATATATGATTATCAGGATCACTAAAGACATCTCCCTTCATAATATATATATATATATATATTATTATATATATTTTTTATGGGGGGAGAAAGAGAGAGAGTATGCTGTATCAACTTTCACAACAAAATTGCAAATTCATTAATTATACTATTTCTATGCATATACGAAGCACGGAAGCTGATGATGAAGTTGTTGATGAGAAGCTCCTTCCACTTATTATGCTCACGCTACCAGAGCCTATGTATACCAATAAATTATGGTATGACAGAATGGATAGGATTCACCTGTTTAAGCGAAGATTATTGAAACATAAGAAATATATTAATGCACCAAAAATATAACGTTAGCAAAATTGAAACAGAGGAATGTGGCTACCTAGTAACTAATAATTAATCCAAAATGTTTAATTATCCAAACCATTAATATTTTTCTGATGACTTGAAAAAAAAAATGAAACTAGAAAAACTCACTGGTGGTTGAAAGCTGAAACTGTAAGGTGACGAATTCGAGGTACTGTAAGCCTCACTTGTCTCCACACGACTTGTTTTTGCGGAACCTTTCGCAAGGGATCGAAAAAACTGTGGAATTGGAGGCACGTCTACCTGAAGCACTCCTTCCAAAATTTGAATCACTTGAGCCATTGTTGGTCTATCTTGTTCATGATCTTGAATGCACCAACAAGCAACCTTGCATGCTCTTGTCAACTCTTCTTTATTCACTTCACCCTCCAATTTAGGATCTGCCAATGTCATTAGTTCTACTCCGTTGTTTAGTGCATTCAATACCAGCATTGGAAAATAGTCACTTAACTCATCATTTGGCATGTCCATGTTCCTTCTACCAGAAATGATCTCAAAAAGCACTTGACCGTAGCTATATACATCAACTTTTGGAGTGATTGCTTCACCGGAAAACCATTCGGGTGCAAGGTATCCTCTGGTACCCCTCATGGTGGTCAGAACACGGCTGAAGTTTCGACCTAAGAGCTTCGCAAGCCCAAAATCAGCAACTTTCGGTTCAAAGTCGGCATCTAACAAAATGTTCTCTGGTTTGACGTCACAATGGATGATGCACTCTATGCACGAGTCATGCAAGTAAGCCAATCCTCTAGCAGTTCCAAGTGCAATTGTGAGTCTCTTTGCCCAATTCAAAATCTCGTTACTCTTTTTAAATAGACGAAATTCTAGAGACCCATTTGGCATGTAATCATAAACCAGGTATCTTTTGGATTTTTCTAAACAGAAGCCTCTTAAGCGAATCAGATTTCTGTGCTGAATTATTCCGATAGTGCTCACTTCTGCACGAAGCTGTTTCTCTTCATGCATTTGACCTTTAAGTTGCTTCACCGCAACCAAAGTCGAATTTGGGAATTCGCCTCTGTAAACAGTACTGAAACCGCCTTCTCCGAGTTCCTGTGTGAAGTTCCTTGTCGCCTTTTTCAAATCTCGGTAATTGAAATGCATCAGAGAACCGCCCATCGTCTCCAAGGAACCTCCACAACCATGCAGTTTGGTCCACATAATTATCAACATCACAACAACGCCAATGCCAGCAAGAGACATAAGAATAGGCCACCAATTCCAGGCATGACTCTTATTCCCACTACCCTCTATTTCAGATGCCGCAACTCTAACATAAAAATCTCCCCCTAGTTTTAATTCTGATGAGAGTTCCGGAATATATGAGAACAATTCTTGCCAAGTGAAGCATAGGTCATATTCGTATGCATATGCAACACAACGACAATCTTCTAAGCATGCCAATCGACACTGATCAGAATTATTGGCTCCCGAAAGTTGTGGTTCCGATGGATAGCTTGCATTGGGAATAATAAAAAACTTGTCTTTTGTGCGGTTGAAGCAATATCGAGATATCTTCAAAACGCATTCATAATTCCCTGAATCCCAGTCGTGCTGATTAATTGGAACAAATCCTCTGATGCAATGGCAAGGGATCGTGTCATTGGGATTGCAAATAGTAAACTCACCACAGGAGGAACAGGGACTAGGGAAGTGCTGTGATAAAAGAAGGATCAATTTCCAATGTTGCAAACCATTCCACCAACCAAATAGCTTGAGCTGCCCATCTGCATCCAACACATATCTGAACAGACCATCTTGGTAGCGCGGCCTAACAGATAATATCACATGATCGGGGTCGAAGGACGTAGCTATAGTGTAACGGTTGCTCAGCGTATAAGTCCCATCTTGAGATATCCCAATCATAGCAAAACCATAGCTGATATGGACATAAGCATAGGAGGTTCCAGAAGAAGGGTCATTTGGATTTTTCCAGGATGCCAATACTATTGAGTCGAATCTATATGCACCGGGCAGGAGAGTATCCGTGGGATAGTCGAAACTTCGCCATAATATGGTGGACGAATTGAAACTCTCTCTAATAATGAAATTTCCATCATCACCAAGAACACCTACCGTAACATTTGGAAGAGGCCTGCCAAAATCCAAATGAACGCTCCAGAATATTTTGCCAGACGTGGCGTGAAGAACCAAGGTGCCACCATCACGAAATTCCAAGGACGCAGAAGTTAGATCGGAGACAGGTTGCTCCCTGTTGGCAACCCAAACCACTGTTTTCTGTGGCATGGGAAGGCCTTTGTACCATATGCCCAAGTAGTACTTGGAGTTAGAAGCAGGGGAAAAGAAACCCATTTCAAATACTCCTCCTTTTGATATTATGGTGCCATTCCCTGAAAGAGATTTCCCTGCATATAAGGTGTCTGATCCACCGGATATACATGCTTGGATTGTGATAAGAAGAAGAAAAATATGAAACTGGAACAGCCCCGAGTGCTTCCCTTTCATCTTCATTTTTTGTTGGATTCACTTCGTTTCTTTGCACTGTAATTAAGTATTCTAAGCCAGCCTCCTTTGCGTCCTTTAACCATATAAACTCGAAGCAACCGTTAATGCGTTTACCGCTTTCCAAATGAAGTCAAATATGGCAATTTCCAACATTTTCTCCACACGGCAGGCCATGTTTTTCCTGCCCCTACCTCTTTGTTTCTCCGCAGAACTACAGAATCCGTGTTGAAAATTTTCCAACTAAATGATTTGGACTTAGAATCCCTGTCATGAAGGCCTTGCGAATCGGTCAATGAATGCTGACATTCATTTTAGTTTCCAACTTTTCACAGTCAAGGAGCCATATCGCTCATAATTGATGGTATGTAACTTTTTAGGCTCGTTACTTCCTTCCAGGAGCAGGATTAACTCACAATATCACGGGAAGTGGAAATCAGTACTCCGGCCTTCTCTCCGATCTTCTTTCTTCTAAATTGTTTTATTAAAATATGTTATATTTATTATATTTACATGTTAAAAGGGGAACGTCCTCAGTGCAAAAGAATAATATTAGCGTCTACCGTACCATCTTAATTTTTTTGCGGCCACAAGAATATCCTTGCAAAACACCTCTACAGAGACGAAAAAGGGGGGGAAAAAAGAAGAAGAAGAAAAGGGGGGGTGGGGGAGATAATATCAATATGCATAAACATATGAACATATGAAAAAGAAGATTAATCCTAGACAATGATGGGTACCAGGAGAATTGGGTTCCTGAGTAAAAAAACCATCCTTTTCAAATAACCACTGCGAATTTGCAATGAACATAAGCTCTGATAGAGGATATACACAAATACTGTGTGGTCTACGGCATGATTCGAAGCTGTGACATCTGTTCCTGCACTCGTATGAAAGAAAAGCTGCAACTGTGAATGCACATTTGACGCATCATGCTAGACTCGATGCCAATTTCCTTGTTAATGTCCTTTCCAGATGATATCAATATCAGCTAAATTGCTCATAATCCACAAGTTAATTTTTTTTCCATGGCCTGAAATGATAATTTGCATTTTCCCTGATAATTAACGGCAATCGTGTGCTATTTATGGTCTCAACTCTCAAACGTATTTGTGGTGGACCAGGTTAAAATCATGACAACGCACGCTCTCAGCATGGAAATCAGTGTTCATGCACGTGTACATAATGGGATCGTTTGAATGCGTTAAATCTTCAGAAGTTAAAAAGAAAATCCCAAAAAATTAAAGTCAAATTTTGAAGCTCCAAATCAATAATTACTAGAAGGACCAAACTTTGGTCACGTGCTTTCGGTCCATTAGATCCAGTCAACCAATCAAATATTGCCACCTGGATTATATTGACACTGAAGCACTTAACCCAAAGTTTCCGCTTGGCATCTAAAGTCTAAACAAATTTCGTCTTCTCCACTGCTGGACTTTGAACCATGAGTCCACGATGGCCTGTTTGGGGAACATGGGTCCCAGATTTGCCAAACCCCCGGGATTTAACAAATCATGTTTTGGATTCAAAACTATAGTTTCAGAAAAAAATAAATTTATTATGCTTCTAGTTTAAATTGGAAGTATGATTGTACCTGTCAAAAAGATCTCAATGATAATATGACTTTAACACCATTCAATTATTTTTTATAAACATATTTAATATTATATTTTATAAATATATATATGCACATATTAATTATTTATTAATTTTATTTCTTCAAATTAAAATATATTATAAAATTCATCTTTTATGTAATTATCATATTAACTTGTATTTTTTTTTAGTAATTTATATATATAAAGTATTTATGATAATAACTATTCAAACATTCTCACTTTATCAGAATCATTTTTTCACAAAATCTATTCTTCATAAAATCTATTCTCCAGAAACTATTTCTAACTATAATTTGGTTTTATTTAAACGTCCCTTATTCTCTTTCTTCCCCAGCTGCATTTACAACGCCTACTTTTTTTTGCAAATCGCACTAGTCTAGAAGCAAAACGTTCATCTGTTGATGGTTCTCTCCCACTTCCACAGTGATGCTCTCTCTCTTCTCACCTCTCTAAGATGATCTCCACTATCCTCAAGCCTTTTGAATTGCGACCACTCCGTTGCCTTTGCCCAGCTTGGAACCTAAAGTAATAGTGGAAGCCATTTAAATGGTGGATGTAGAGAATACTCTGTTCTTGCTCTGTCTGCGCTAGATTTCTCAGTGATGACATTACGGAAGGACAATCGAAAACCTGTGAGTACGAACCAATCACTGGCAACCAAGAGTTTCTCGAGAGCGTCCAGTCTGAAAAGTAGCAAGTCAGGTAAATGCTGGGAAGAAGACAGACGGTGGTGTTCCGATGGTGAAGAAGAGCTCTACCGCCATGGATGAACTCGGGAATTTCTCTTCCGGGTTGAAACCATGTGGGGTAGAAGAGGGGTTTAATTAGACTAACAGTGGTTTAACAGAACTTTTAGGGTTAAGTGCTGATGTGTAAAAATGATTTAGGTGGCAATGTTTGATTAGTTGACTGGACCTAATAGACTTAAGGTACTTGACCTAAGTTTTCTCCTTACTACAATAATATGTTATCATTTGGCTTTCAAGTGTAATTAATTGCCATTAAAATATAATAAATAAGACTAATTTAAAATTTTGAAATTTAAGCATTTTTTTTTTTTGAGATTTTTCAAAAGTTCAATTATGCCAGACCATCGTGTATAACATAATGCAAGTTAAAACTTAAACCCGAGTTCCCTGAAGACACCCAAAAAGAAAAAAAAGAATTACGCACAACCACGAGTAGCAGATCCAGCCTAGAATTTCAGACCAAGTTTGAAATAATAAATGCTATTCTTTCCAGTTTGAAATGATACTACACGGCCATAATCTGTTGGCATTTCAGATTATTCATGTTTTCTAATTCTTTTTGGCTATCCAGAATTCATGTTGATAGAGTATTTTCAATACAAACCAAATACTAATGCTAAGATCTTCTTTTTCGATCATCTTCCTCATCATCATCAGAATCACCGCTCTCACGAAATCGTGGATTTTTTTCCTGCATCAGAAGTTATTGTTGTGAGACAAATCAAAAGGCAGTAACAAGAGACACAATATATCCAAAATTGACAAATGAACGAAGCATCACATCACGCCTTGAATTGAGAGATTAAGCCCGTCGGCTTATGGCAAAATTGGTTTAGCTATTAAGTCTGATCGAAAGTAGTAATAATAATCATCTGCCTGAAGCATCATAAGATTTGTAGTGTTTGTTTACCGGTCTAGAGTCATGATCAGAGTTCCTCCGAGATTCATGATCCGATGACCTTTTTGAGGGCTCGTAGGCGTGGCGATCATCATCTCTGTGCCTCTTCTTATGGTAATCTAGCATTTTAAAGAGACGTTAATATTATATAGATGTTAGTTTCTGAAACCCCAAAATGTCAAACAGTGAAAAACAGTCTTCAGGAAATACCTCTGCCATACCGATGAGAACCACCATGTCTGCCATCTGCAGAAGCAAAATTGTAAAACAGTTTAATTTGAATGGCGAACAAGGTCACACCAAATGATACAGAATTACCACGATGGCTCCCCAGTAAACCAACAAGTGTTCCTTACTTATATATGCTCAGTGATTTACTAACAAGCATGCAATGACACGACACAGACACAGACACAGCAACACGCTGACAGCAAAATTTTAAGTGCCAAATCATGTCATATTGATGTCTCATATGAACCGGATACTGCTCTATTTGAAGTGCCCATGCTTCATAGATGTCTTGTAATAATAAATTTGACATGTCATAAGCAATTCACTTTATAGGAGAACTGGCTAAGAGGAGAAAATCAAATCTATAGTACGGATGACCAAGCAAGTCTTATCAGCTTCTATTTTAGTTAGCCACGAACTTCAATCTATATGCAGTAAAGTACAATGAAGGAGTGACTGCCTACTGTAAGCATCATTTTGTACCATATGCCTGTGCTGCATAACAAATATAAGGCAGCAGCAATCAGGCTAATATAACTGGCAGACTGATGCCTCCTGCTTCATATTGACTCAGAAAGTCATTACGTTTAGACCCCACAAAAATTGTGATCATGCCTTTGTATCGGAGACTTTCACAATTTTTACAATTACCATAGCCAAAAATTCAAGCACTAGGACAAGACATTTAATAAATATGAATACTCCAACAAATAAATAAATATGAATACTAACATAAATGCAAGGACTAGCATCTTATGTAACTTTATAACAAGTGCAAAACATAAACACCAGCGGTCCAATCAGCTCAAGATCTGTGCTCTGAGTAACTTACAGGATGGTGGCAAAACTGGTGGAAAAGAGCCCAAAGAACCAGCACCATAATCAACGAGCTGTCTTTGTGCCTCCAACTCTTTCTGAACCAACTTTCCATAACCACCTCTACGTTTAAATAATTAAGGAAGCCAAGAAAAGACTAGGATAATAAGTAATGCCATCAATCAAGTTGAAAATACCCATAAAAACTGATTTAAAGACAAAACTACTTAGACATTCAAGAAAGTATTGTGAGGTCTATATCACCTTCCTATTTGTACTTATTCTTTTTTATATGTGACACATCAGAGGTTTGAACCTAAGACCTAACATACTATATTTTTAATTCATTACACATTTTAGAATTAGCAGTCGACTAATTTAAAAGTGAAATCCCCTTCAAAATAAAACGAAAAAGGTTCAGCAAACATGTTTGAAACAAATTATTTAAAAAAAAAAAAGGCTATTTGTTCAGTAATGACAAATTCATATCTATTTTACCCTGTTAATTGTACAGAATAATTATCAAAGCTCCACACTAGTTTATATTAATCTTGAATCTGAGCTTTCAGGTATGACCACATTCATGTGGCTGAGTCTAGTACCAAGATCAATTTCATGATAGGGAAGAAAATTGCAATTCAATGAAAATTTAACATCTAAAAGGATATCAGGATCATAATCAGTCCGATATTCATCACGCACCTGCACAAAATGAGGAAAAAGCAAGTTTACATCAGTCGGGACCAGAGGCACCCTTAAACAGCATAGGTACAACACCTTACCTGACCACCACTACGACCACGACCCCATTGTCTTCCATCCTGGAATCCCCAGTCAAAGTCTACACGAATAGGACGATCATCAAGTATTGTCCCACTTATGTATTTGACAGCGTCTTCAGTATCTTCTCGAGAGTAGTATCTGATAGATGATAGCACACACTATCACTAATTACTAGTCTATAAGACTGACTATAATAAATCACTACAACTAGCAACGAATATTCATCACAAGAATATTCGATTCAGGACACCAGGAGAATTTCAATGAGGTCCCACTAAATAATCTCTTAGAACCTTATGCAATAGTTTATTTAGCCACCACCAATGTCCTAAATATAGAAGTTGCGATAAATTAACATATCCTAGGAAACAAGAGTACATTATATTTCTAGAATCCGATATCAGAAGAAATATCTAAACACAAAATAAGCAACAGATAATAAAAAGGAGACATTTTGTCAGTTTATGACAAGTAAGAAAATGATGGATGCAAACAAATTATCATGACAAAGTTTGCAGAGAGAGATATCTGTATGTTCAGAGTCATGGGTGAGATTCAAACTCCTTTTGCACTAAAAAAAAAATTACAGATGTTTTAATATTCTTCCAAGAGATATGAGTTCTTATACTATGTTACGGACTGCTTCACATAGTAATGAAAGAATGGTACACCAGCACCTTAGTCTCAGTGAAACATACAAGCATGACTATAGCACGATCAACAACTACAGTAATATTAACTGCCACAGCTTATTTTATATCACCTTAAAGATGATTATTTGTGGAAAACTTCTCCAACATGTTATAAATTAATAAAGCATATATACATGTACAAGATGTGTAGAAAATATAATAGAACCTCTTCCAAGAGAATTCACTAAATACAGAAAACCTTGATCCTAGCCTATATATCATGGATAAGCGGGAAATGAGTCTTACAAAACAAAACAAAAGCCACAAGGAGTTTTCGTGTTTTTATCCAATCCCATGATAATTTTCTTAATTTCTCCAGCTCGAGAAAAAAGTTCATAAACTTGCTCTTCTGTTGTGTAAAACGACATATTCCCCACATAAACAGTTGTTGAAGACAGGAGCGCTTGCTCAAATTCCTCTTGCGTTCCCGGAAATTTTCTGTCTCGATAGGCTGAAAGCTTAGATAGATCCTAGAAGCAAAACAGAAAAGAAAGAAGGTAAATACTGTAAGCTAAACCACTTTATTTAGCATTTAAGATTGAATATAAACACGTAGACCCGTAAATTAGACAAGGGAAGAATAAGGAGACGGAAATAAAAGGAACCCATTTCACTTTCTCATATATATGCAACAGAGCATCCTTTCTTAACCCAAAGAAAAAGAAGAGAAAAGATACAGAGAAAGAAGAGAAGAGAACTTTTTTTTTCCTCTACAAGGTGGTTCTTAGTTCCAATTCAAATGATTAAATGAGTTCTGTAACTTGCTGCAGTAGCATTTTTCCTCTTATCTATGTACGATTGGCTTTGCCCAGCATGCAGCAAAGAAAAATGAAATGTACGAGGTTTTACAGCCAATTGCATCTTAAATATAGGTACTTTGTTTTTTTTTTTTCCTGCCAAAATCGAAGTCCTCAACCTTCGCACATTAGTTTTCCTAAACTTCTGAAATCGAAGTTAAAAGATTCAAGCATGTATCAGTAACTTAAGCACCTAAATAGAGCCTAAAGCATACCTTGAACAACGAAGCCATATTTTCGTCTGCAACTCAGCTGGGTAACCTCAGTTTATGTCGAAGAATAAAAGAAAGAGGAAGAATCAGAGGGACATGAGAAGCTTAGGTCTTGGGGCTGATGCAGGAAACCGAAGAAGACGAGGGGAACCTTCTTACGTGCGAGCGTGCGATCGTAGGCCAAGGGAGATCCAATCCGGCTCTTGGTGAATAATCTGTATCCACGTGCCCGGCCCGATATGACCCGAATGGTCAATGATACCCGGGCAGGAATTACCATCCTCGTGAGCAAACATTTCTCAGGATTTAAGGGAGATTTAAGCCCTAAGGGAGTGTTTACTGTTTAGTTGGGGAAACTATTGTTAATATACCCTGTTATTTGAAGTTTTAGTCTAAGTAAAACCACTCATTCTCAATTCATTAACAGGTCATGTTATGTATATATGGGTACGGCTGAGAAGGTTATGACGCATGTGTAATTGGCTAAGACGAACCAAATATACCATAAAAGTTCTTTTGATATGAGTCCATTGATAATGGGAACGGTGAGATATAGAGTATCAACATCAAAATGCTGATGATAAGGGTGAATGCCAGTGTTCATGAGAAGAAGGTGGAGCTAATAGAACATAGTGTCTCTGGCAAAGAATTACACAGCATCCACCTCCTTTAAAGATTCCTAACAAAGGATTGCGAATCCTCTAGACTGATACTAGTGACGACTTTTAGGAAGCTGTCTTAGTTGAAGAAATAAATAGAAAGAAGTTCTACTGTGGACATACAAGCGGACAATTTAAGAAGTCAGAAAAGCATTATCATGCTACGCATGAGAAGGTCCTTGCAGTCAAAAGAGGGATCAAGGAGTTCAGTTCTACCTCAATCCTTATCAATTTAGATAATACGTTTTTTCCCATAATACCTAATCTCAAGAGAAAGATTTTGCCAAATAGTCAATTATTTCAATAGAAAGATTGGTTTTCCCGTTATAAATTCACTGTCTATCATCTCAAGAGTCACATAACACCATCACATATCTCCTCTCAAGACCTTAAAAACTTCTCAACCTCCAAAGCAATTGTTACTCTCCACACACTAATTCTTTTTCATCCTAACCATCTCTAATCCAAAAATGTCTCACAGAATAATATAGGTACTATTTTTTCTTCATAATCCTGTCCTGAAACTCCAATAGCTGTTTAGGACACGAAAAAATCTTCTTACAAGTACACCAACCCTTAATAATCTAAAAGTTCAACTTTTATATTATTTCAGTTTTTTTTTTCTAATTATTCCGGCACAAGGCATCGCTGTCGCTGATCTTGGAGTTTGTGGGTGATAACAAAACATTTCCGATCTCGAAATGGCCTCCTCCTCCGCCATCAGAGCAGTCCTCCGGTCGTGCTCGTCCCGTCGCTATGCGTTTCGTCTTGCATTGGAAGTTAAAGCATCTCGTTCTCCATTCCGCTTCGCCTCCAATAAACCTCTCTCATATTCCACAATCAGGTGACTTGCGCAAGATTCAGATACATTAACGCTTATAATAATTCTCTTTTGTGGTCTCTGAGAAAATGTAAGTCAAGTGCAAATTAGAAATGAAGCTTTTTGCTGTTTGAATCACTTTCATTTTCCAAGAAAGAAGAAAAGAAAATGTTCTTTGTTCCCATTTTAAGGTTTGGTGAATGTTTATTGACCCTAATACGAATCTTCACAGCTACAATACAGGGTGCAGTGGTGCAGAATTTAGTATTACTTATTTACCCTGATGTTTGCATCCGTGTTAGAGATGGAGTAATTATTGCGCTCTGCTGTGACACTAATTTTATTGGATGGAATTGATTGTATGATAAGGTTCCCCGCGGAGTTGAGCTGTTGTGTGGAAACAATGCTCCCATACCATACCGCAACTGCTTCCGCACTGATGACTTCGATGCTCTCCATCTCTAGTTGCCGTTATGGATGGCTGCCTGAAGGTAACTCCCTATCTGTTCTAGATTCATGTCGACCTAGCACAAATGCCCATTCGGTCATGCTGGTTGAGATATTACAGATGTGTTGGAAGTGAACTCGTCGGATTAAAATTTACAATGAATAGACATGTACATTTTTACATTGAGAGAAGATTTAAGACTACAAAATTTCGCAGTGATGCTTTCTCGCACTTTTTTACTCTCTGGGTCAGCTGATCTCTCATACTTTCTGCTCTTTATGAGTTGCCAGATTTTGGGCTACAAACATGTTTGATATTGCTTTTGATTTTTGTTTTTTTTTTTTTGGGGTAATGCATTAGAATGGTGACTCTAATGGTAGGTTGCCTGACCATTGTATTCTACTTTTGGTTTAGGCAGCTAAGCTTCTGTAGCATTGCTTGATATACTTTCTTCAAAATTGTTCAGAGTAAGTTACTGCTTCTATTGATTCTTGGGTTGAACTTATAAAAGTCTTTTGAGAAACAATGTAATAGTCAGTCGTGCTGTATTTGGAATATAACATCACTGTCGGCAAAGATGGGTCTTCATCTGTTAAATGATTCACTGCTACACCTATTTGGTGCGTTAATCTATTCCCTACATGGTTGACTTTCCCCCTCATGAATTTAAATCGATCAGTGAAACCGCATGCACTGCTTTTTATCTGTAGGCCAAAAAAAGACTAGATGACGATCAAGAAGCAAAGATGGCATGACTTGGACTTCTTATGATATTGAGCCTTAAACAAAATTTTGTTATATCAGTATTAGGAAGCTAAATATCTCTAAGTATTGAATGATAGCACATTTGTGTTCTTGTGTTTTGAGATTACAAGTTAAAATACATTATGTAGCATGCTTCCCCTATACGTTGCGCATTCTATTATAAATCCTCTATATGCATGTTCTAATTTTAGTGTTCAAATCAATTAACCCTGTTGAAAATGAGCAGTATCATTTCTGTGCTCCTAATTTTCATTTAAAAAAAAATAAGTTTGCTTGAATGCTTGATACACATTACCAGAGATTTTGCTGACAAAACCAATATGATAAAATGTGACACTATTTTCTTGTTAGAAGTTCCCTAAAATTTCAGAAAATCAGCCCGTTCACTCTATGCGTCATTAATTAAAGATATAAACTTCTATTCTATGTGGTTGTCGGTGGTGCTGGATTACTTCATAATGCCCATGAATTTTGCAAGTACCGTTTCTTTTCCATTCTTTATCTACTTGCTTAAAAGTTATAGGTTCAATAATTAAGGGATCTTCTGCTCTTTTTTTTGTTCAATCAGATTGCAATGATGACGTATAATAAGTGTGAAGATTGAAGCAATCTTTATACAGAAATCTGCATAGTGAGACAGTGACTGCAGAATCAGCAGGGGCTCTGATTGAGCCAGTGGACAGAGAAGTTAAAAACTATAATAACTCTGGTCAATTGTAGCTTTTTGGTTCTCCATTTGTGATTTATGAAAGACTGTATTTGGTTTTTTTCTTTTTTTGGTCGAAGAAGGTTGTATCTTTCATACGGGTTCTTCAGTGCCAGATGCCTTAATCATTCATATACATTGAAAATGTATTTCAAAGGTTGCATCTTGTTCCATGAAGTTATTCAGCAGATCATGCACATTCAGCTAGCCATGGTGAGAGATGTTGTAGGTCGCTGAAGTTGTGCTTCCGATAAAATGACCTTCATGACCAATCAACAGGGAGAAAATTCCTCTTGAGCAGCCTTCCATTTTGGAGGATATTAAATTGACTCGAATATCCTCTCGCCTTGCGAATCATTTCCGTGGACCTTGCTTGGCCCGGTCGCTGTTGGTACTTACACCCGCTCAATTTTGCCTGTGATTTGTTGGAATATTGGGAAAAATTTTAAGTGACCATAAGTTGTTTAACCTTGGTCTGTCATGGAATTTTCTTCTTTCTTTAGTAATAAAATTATCCCACTTGGTGGATAAATCTTGTGGTTGTTTAGTAATAAAATGAATGATTTCGTGTACCCAAAATAAAAATGATCTTGATGAAATTACCGCTTGGCGAGTTTGTATCGTGGTGTTGAACTGACAGAATTGATTGGCAAATAGTTTGAAATTGGAAAGAGAAAGGTTTACGGTTGGTGGTTTTTAACTGGTCCTGCAAAATGAGTTAGGCCTTTAGTTACAGTCGTGCTCGAATCCTTGTGTCTCCAAACTAAAATCTCAAGTGAAACCGAGACGGGTGAGGGCACCGCATGGCCTTCGCTAGATTCTTTTTTTTTTTTTTTGGACCAGACGCTAGATTCTTTTCTTAACTAGCTTATACAAAGTATATTTACAATACTTGATATTCAATTATTATTAATTTACAATGTCCCTGTGCATCGCCCGAAGGAGTAAAATCTAGTTCTTTTAAAGTCATGAAAAATTCATGAAAATTAGATATCTCAACTTGTTCAAGTTATCAAGTGAATTTAAATTAAATCTTAACTGTTTAGCAAAGTTGATGGCACAGGAACATGGTTGGGCTTTTCACAAGATAAACCAATTACATAGTACATAAACAGCACACATAGAGAAAACCTTAAGAGAAATTCTCTTGTTCCCAACAAATGGTATGAAAGTTCACTGCATTCCAACATGAAGTTGTCTGCGTAGCCATCCTCTGATTCATAATGACATTACTGGTCGCTTCACACAGACGAATTAGGGGCATTTTGGCATATGACGGAGACTAAAGGCTTTTATTCTGCTGAGGGCATCTTCAAGGGCCAAAGGCTCAACTGCAAAACTTATCCGAAGCCAATTCTTCAGTCCAACAGTAACACCTGTAAGTATTATTCAGCAATACGGAGTCATTCTCACCATCACCTTTCAACGAATCCAAGATTCTTATAACAGGAGGTCCTTACCGGGGAGAATAATTACAGATTCCTCTTTGGTCAGTTTGACACAGAAGTCCACATCATCAATAATGCCCTCAATTTGCGAGAAGTTAATCTGCACCTGCTTTAGTCAAATTGCCACTGGCTGATCATGTCTAAAGGCACTCTCATGTCATTATTATAGAATGATACAATCTTAAAAAAAATTTCTACTTACCATCACAGTCATAGTACTTTCTGGTTTGTGAGGACATATTAGACAAGGGATCTCCTTGCATCTAACAAAGAATAGGTCTGCAGATTCTCTCATTATGTCAAGATTATGTGCAAAGAATTCGTCTTTGGTATTCCTAAGGATTTGGGGTATAGCAGCCTGAAACACAAAACCAGATGAATTTATTCTAGAGAAAGAACGAGAAAAATGTAGCACGATCATGCACACATGCATTATGCTCTGAATGTATCCATGTCGATCTGGTGGCCATACAGAACAAGACAATCGAAGAACTAGTTTGACAGAAGAATTCATCATCAGCTACCTGCATGAAGGTTGGAAGGTCGGTAGTGATGTCCAGATAGTTCTTGATATTCGTCACTATCTGAAAGAGAAAGAATAAAATCACATAATTTTCAGCACAATCTACCATCGTATGCCTAATGTAAGAAACTCTGCCACTCAAGCCTTGTTTGGATTCACTGTTAAAAGAATAAAAAAGATGCATGCACGGACACCGCAAGCACAGTAGACTAAAAGATCAAAAAAATGAACCCCAGTTTTCTGGAAGATGCCATTTGGATCACATGTCACGATCCATCCTATTCTCCAACCAGGAACAATCCATCGTTTCCCCAAAGACCCAAGTGTAATAACAGGCACTAATGATGCAAACGCTCCCATAGGCACAAATGGATTGCTTCCAAAGGTTATGTGAGCATAAACTTCATCAGCTACCACAAAGATCCCAAGTTTCCTAGCAGTCTCTGCAACCTGCAATAGTCCTGAAAATCAATCTCATTTTCCATATATTAATTACAACTCTGAGACAATGTAATTTAAAGAATTTTTACAATACCCTTTTCAAATGCTGATACGTGAAAACATTCCCGCAAGGATTGCTAGGATTAATAATAACCATGGCCACAGTGTTCTCATCTGCAAGAGCTTCTAAAGCATCGATATCAATCTCCCAACCTCTCTCAGGCAAAAGATCAAAATGGCGAACTTCAAGACCACTGCAAGCTGCACGGGCTTCATACTGTGGGTAGCCTGGTCTTGGAAGAAGGATGTTGGCGCCAGGACGTGCAAGGACAGATATGATTATATTTATAGCTTGAGTGCACCCAACGGTGACATAAACATCGTCTGGTGATAACTGGAACGGAAGATCAGAGGATAGATGTTCTGCAACAGCCCTGTTAGGGTAATTGTACCGTCACCTATCAATTTGGAATGTAAAACAGATATTTGGTGCAGGAAGTTGCGCATGCAATTACCCTCATCTTTGGTGGGACCAAAATTTCAATCTCAGAGTAAGAAATTAAATGTTTCCGGTTTTAAAGGAAGAATTGAATTCGCTCACTGCTAAAACCTTTTCTTTAACTATGAACATACAACTCGTTAATCATAAACATAAATATTTAGAACTTTGGTCGAACACCACAAATGCGTCGTCGTCTAATAAAGTCTTAGGCTCGAAGATTGAACGAACCTCCTCGCCTCAAGCAAGCTAACGGTGGGAGGGTAACAATTGAAGCGAAAGGACTGAACAGCGCTAGTGATGGCATCAGAAGCCACGTGGGTGGTTCGAAAACAAGAGGAATCGGTGGGGTCAGCACGGCAGAGACGAAGCAATGGTCTCTGATCTTCTGCGTTGAGGTTAGCTATCAACATGTTGAAGACACCTCTCACTGATACTGCTGAAGCATTCAGCTCTTCGTTCCCCTGGAAGTTCCATTTCTTGGCCTCCTTCTCCTTCTCCTGCTCCATTCCCTTCCGTGACTACTAGCTTGACTTTGAGAGAACAACTACGGCAGGCTTAACAGCAGTGATTAGGGAAGCGGGATTACGTCATACCAGGCGCCAGCCTGAAATTAAATTTTCTGATTTACTAATTACTAAAATGATTTTATATAATTAAAAAAAGAAAAAGAGTCTCTAGTCTCCAGAGTTTCGACGGCGTTCCGGTCAGGCCGCCGTGGATGAAGTCAACTACGGTCAACTGTACTAAGGAAGTTTTAACCTATGATATTCGGCTCTTGACCAAAAAAAAAAAACCCATGATATTGGGTTCACAAAACAATTTTGACTATTAAAACAACGTAGGAATTTAGCTACAATATGCAAAATAATATTACCTCCGTTAGCCAAAAAAAAGAAAGTAATATTATGTCCAATCCCTAGTATAAAAGCTACATGAGAGATTCTCTGGGTACAAAAGTTACATAAGAGATTCATTTTAATTTTAATATAAGATCTTATTTTACTTTGCCTTCCCAATTTATAATTGTATTCTCAAAATATCTCTATTGATTACTCATACTAAGAAGTTATAATTTCAATATACATAATTAACAAGGATATTATAAAAAAATCAAAAAATATTTATTATAAATAATTATAACTAACTTAACTAAATTTTTTAATATCCTTAAATTAGTTACCTAACTTAACTAGGTAGTATATATTAATATCTCCAATCCTAATTATAAAAGCTAATTGACTAATTTGAGGAGATTAAGAAAATAAATTAAGTTAGTTATTTGTAATAAATAGGTATTGTTTTTCCTAAAATATCCTTGCTAATCAAGTGTATTAGATAAAACTACCATTATTGGAAGGACTGTCTTAGAAAAAAATACATAAATACTAGAGATAAAGTGGATTGGAGTTTTATATTTAGAACCAAAATAAAAGTTAAACGAGATTTATATTAAGAACCGGATGCAGTATAAATTTAGCTTCCAAGCCCTTTTATGAATCGAACATGTTACCATTTCTCGTATTGATTTTGTAAAAATTTAAAGAATAACCTGTCAATATTCTTAAAAAACAATGTATATTTAAAAAAATATCAAATGATGACTTAACAAAATTTGAATTCTAACTTGTTAATATTAACAAAGAAGTTATCAATGTTGAAGGCCACTTAAAAATCTTGCCAAAATTCGACAACAATTTTTTAATAGTTAAAGAACGATTTGTCAAAATCTAAACTGTAACTTGTCAATACTCTCAAAATAAGTTATCAGTATTTAGAGATCTTTAAATATTGTTATGGATTATCAGCCCAATAGGTAATGGGCTTATGTTAAATATTTTAATCAATTTGTGAAAAGATTAAGGCCCAATCAAAATGTACTCTGTACTCACGCAAATTACTATGACTTGTATATGATTTCCCACATTGTCATGGTTTATAAAAAAAACACTCCACATGGTTTATGGTTCATTAATACATCTTTTATATCTTGAGTTAAGCAACATTACGGCACCAACTCCACCCATTTTATGGTAGAAATGAACTACTAGTATAATATCATGTATTGAGGCCAGAAAAAATATAATACTCCTTCCATCCTAAATATAAGACCTTTTTGTAGTATAAATGATTTACACTACAACAAGGATCTTATATTTAGAACTTATCTACACTACAATAAGGGTCTTATATTTAGAATTTATCTACACTACAAAAAGGGTTTTATATTTAGGACAGGAGGAATATCATGAGAAAGTTTGTTAATTAACATAACAAGTTCACCATTTATGATATCCCATACAAAGCACTGGTTCATCGCTAGTTTTTATTGAGTTGTTTCATACATTGATAATGCAAAAGAATGGGATCCAAATCACTTCTTGGAATTCCTCTGGCAGAAGACTCTAATCCTCTCAAGGCCTTGTTCAAGTGCTGAAGGTTCAATCGCAAAAGTTATGCGTAACCAGTTCTTTAATCCCATTGCCACACCTGCAAATTCGTGAGCTTTGTCATATGTGATCACAGAAACATGTACTTCCAGGACTTCGAGGAGAAACATACTGAAACTCACGGAGTTGAATGATGTTATGATATCCTAGAATAGAAAATTAAGATGTAAAATTCATGCCTGGTAAAACGAGGACAGATTCCTCTTTGGCCAGCTTCACACAGAACTCCATATCATCATCGATTCCTTCCAAAAGTGCTGGGTTTAGTTTTACCTGGGGATGTAACTATCATTTTTCTAGTGACTTTAGAAGGAAATAAAATAGATTAGGAGAGAATAACGATATAGGCACTTACAGTCATAAACATTGATCCCTCTGGTTTGTATGGGCAGTACAAGCAAGGTATCTCCTTGATTTTGTCATAACATGTGTCAGCAGTGTCTCTTAGGAGCTTAATAATCTTAGAATAGAATTCCTCCTTTGTCTTTTCAATCATCTCAGGAAATGCTCCCTGTTTTATTTAACACAGCAAACATGGAAGAAGAAACTGTTATTCCCATAACATCTGGAAACAAGGCAAAACGAAACAAGGGACAATGAGATTATCAACAAAACTCCTCTTTGATATCCCCATTGTAAACTATCCCCATTATTGAAAAACCTCTCATAAGACTACGTGAACCAAGATATTATATTTATGAATGGGAGGAAGTATATGAAACTAGATATCACCTCAAAACAAGGAAGTTGCATATATACCTGAAGAAAAGTGGCAGCATCGCATGTCATGACTTGGCAACATTTTAAACTTTCGACAACCTTAAATATGCAAATGAATTCAATTCGAAGAGGAAAACAAGATCAGTATAGCTCAATATCACCCGGAAGCTTTGCTAAGCCACATAAATAGAGTTAAGGCCCACACAGAGAGAGACAGTACCCCAGTTTTTGCTAGGATGCCATTAGGATCACTGGCAACAAGCCAACCGAGTCTCCAGCCAGGAACAAGCCATCTCTTAGATATAGATCCAAGTGTGATGACAGGAGCAATCGATGCAAAAGCTCCCATGGGAACAAATGGATTTGCCCCAAAGTTGAGATAAGCATAAGCTTCATCAGAAATCACCATGATCCCAATCTTTCTAGCAGTCTCTGCCACCTAATGAATAACACAAATTAAGAAACTGACACGTGCAATCTGCATACTAATTGTTATGTCAAACTTAAATAGTTTTTTTTTTTTTTTTTAACTACCAAATCCATTTTAAGAATCAAAGGGCCAAGAATCCTAGTACCTTCATTAAATGCTGGCGAGTGTAAACATTTCCGCAAGGATTGCCAGGGTTAATGATGACCATAGCCACAGTATTGTCATCTGCGAGAGCTTGGACAGCTTCAAGATCAACCTCCCAGCCCTTTTCTGGTATAAGATCAAACAGGCGATACTCCAAATGGTTGAACATAGCGTGAGCTTCGTAATCAGGGAAGCCAGGTCTTGGAAGCAAAATGTTGGCATTAGGGCGAGCTAGCACTGCTGTAATTATTTCAATGGCTTGCTTGCATCCAGACGTAAGGAACACGTCGTCTGGTGACAGCTTGTATGGCAAATCTCGCGATAGGTGTTCTGCTAGTGCCCTGCATCGTTCTTGTTAATTTGTTATTGGAGTCTCAAACACAACGTTTTCTTTTACTTTTGCATCCAAAAGTTAGCCGGAGAATGACACGGTTAGCTCTCAAAATTTTAACTTTATTACAGTTAGGTTCAAAAAAATTTTATTAAAAAAATTAATTCAGGTATTTGCAAATATAAATAATTTTGATTGCAAATCACAAATTAATACTCCTCCAGTCCTAAATGTAAGACCCTTATACATATTAGTATAAGATTTTTATATTTAAGACCGGAGGAGTAATAATTACATCTAGTTCATAATGAAAGGTTTCATATTTACAATTTACTTTTTAGTAAACATTTTTACAAACCTAATTGTTAAAAAATTTGTTCTTGAGTACTATAAATTCTAGCTAAAAATTTTCGCCAAATAAATAGCACTTAACTTAATGACTCATTATTAATATTTTGTCATAAAAAATTAATGACAAGAGGCTATAAAAATATAATTAAAAAATAATTGTGTGTGCTTTTTTAACATAATGCAGTAATTCACATATTCTTTAGTTCACACTTAACTTTGCACATAAAAAATTTAAATTAATAATTGATGTCATTTGGAGTAAAGGGTTGTGTGCGCATGTATTTGGTAATAATTAAAAAAGCCAAAAAAGCCCCCCGGCCCCCGGGGGGGGGGGCGCGGAATAATTCCTGCGCTTGTGCCCTTGTCTGTCTTGGATACCGGCGTCTTTCTAATTCTCTTATATCTCAACCTTTTAAAAACAAGTGGTCACCGTTCTTTAAACTCAGTGCTCTTAATTCACGTCATTTTCACCAAGAAAGTAGGTTACCAGAGATTTCGAGAAGGGAAAATAAGATAGAGAGAAAGGTCGTGGGAAATTGCTTTTATTTGTTACCTTCTTGCCGGAAGAAGACCATGGAGGCTTTTGCAGTAGTTATTGTAATCGCCAGACCTAATGGCGTTGACGACGGCGTCTTCCGCTGCGACCGTGGTTCGGAAGCTGGGGAATACGGAAGGGTCGCCGTGGGCGAGAGGGATGAGCGGCCTTTTTTCTTCTCTGCGTGAAATATCCATCAAAGAGACGACGACGTTTCGTATGGATCGGGAAGATGCTGCAATCAGCTCCTGGTTCGCCTGGAAACGCCACTTGCTTGATTCATTAGCCTCCATAATCTTCTTTTGCAGATCTCTCCAGCTTCAACTCTCTTTCCCTCTTTTTCTCTCCCACGAAGCAGCTGTGAATGTGTGTGCATGAGCAGATGCACATAGCGACAGATATATTTTTCTAGGAAAAATTGTAACAAGCCCCACTCAAAGGAATCGAACACAGAAAGTTTCTGAAAATTTTCAAATTATTTTAAAGTCTTAAGAAATCCTATAAAAAAATTTTATTTATTTAATTATCAAATTACTCTTATTTTTTTAAAGTTATTGATACTTATCTTAATAATCGTTAATCCTTACATTTTAAATTGTCAATAAAAACTT